TTTTACGAGGGGTACGGACGTAAAACGACCCAGGGTGTCGACTACCCCTAGGGAGGGAAACCTCTAGAGTAGACCCCAATCGGATACCATAATCACTTTTTAATTATAGGATAGCATCTCGATGGCCCTGACACGTTTATGAGGGTTAAACTGACAGGCGGACAAAGGGTTAACTAGGGAATTCGATCTGATATAAGTATATCCATTTGTAACTTCTAATATGTTTGATTTTTATCGATGGTTGATCGGATTTAAATTTTTTAAATAATATTTACTGTTATATTCAATCTAGAAGACTGGCTTCTTGTCATTCTTGAAATATTTTATCTTTTCGTTTTGATTTTAATTAAATGGTGAATTTGAATTACGAAATTTGTACAATATAGTAAACGAAAATATAATTAAATAAATTTGAAAAAAATCAAACGTAGAGAGATCTAATATTGTAAAAAGAGTAAACATTCCCTGCCCTTACATACATGTATTATCTTCTCGAGGGTGAGATTTACAAAATATTACATCTGTAATAATCTAAATGAGATATTACTATATTAATGATAATAATTTTTTAATCCTTACCACAGTGACACTCTCTCCCACCCTCACTTCTTATGGGTGAAGATTTATAAAATAAAATCATAAGATATCTCAAACAGTTACGATTAGATATTAATATATTTATAATCATAATTCCTTAATCCTTGCCACAGTGACACTCTTCCCTCACCCCTCGGGCCAAGTGTCATACCTGGCAACCATTTCACTACTTTAGGGGTAAGATTTTGGTAATTAAAATTAGGATTATGATCTATATCTTGATTAGCGATGATGGGTTATTAATATATTTATGATGTTAATTGGTAAAATCCCTGCCCCTCGGGATCAAAAAAAGGGCTTGGGGTAAGATGTCATAATTTTGGCATCTGCACAATTTCAATATGAAATATACTCTTATGCACCTTATGCGCATCGCTAGACAATGCTGTGCCGTGTGACATGAGGGAAATTTTGTGATGTCCATTAATTTTGAACTAAGAATTGTCAAGATATGAAAGGGGTGACAGAATACAAGGCCCCTCTTTTTCTCTGCGTCTTCCGAAGCATTGAAAGTTTTGTCCATGTCGATAGCAAGACCATTGTCTTATACCTATCTCAAAATTGGATTTATTTTTTTATCCCCTCAACTTTGCAGAAAAGTAAGACGGAAAACTCTATTTTAGATTTCATTCAATGTAGATTTCAACATCATTGTCTGATACTCAATCCCAAAATCGGGTTTTTATTTTGACACATGAAATAAGCATGTTCCCCAAGGACTGCCATTACCACATCCAGCCCCTTTTGACAGAAGTCGTATATCATTTAAGCGTTATAGGGGTTAAAAATACGTTCGAAACAGTCGTTACGTTGTGTTCACCGATTCTGATAATTATACGGTACATCCCATTTTGATTCAAGTCGTCAAATTTAGGAAAAGTTAGAAAAACAGTAATTAAAACTTGGCACTAATCATGCCTGATAAATCAACCGTGTTATTGTTGATTATTTGATCGGGGGCGGGGAATATCGAGTTCAGTCCGGCAAGGTATCGCCTGGGGACACGGGTTAAAGAGCGAGGCCCTGACGTTTGAATATAACTAACACTGTGTGTGAAACAGTGGAAAGGAAATTCGAATACTACTAAAAATAATTTCAAACAATCAAAATATTCAAACTTAGTCCTTTAACCCTATAAAACTCTTTAACCCCGCCATTTTACAACCCTTCTGAAAGTTTATGACGTTAACGCTACGATGACGTCATGATGACGAAAAGCGTGACGGTGTGACGTGACGATTGAGAGTCGTCAAGTCATTATCGTTGTTTACGTTTGGGATGAAAATTGTTTGAAAGAATTATGGACCTCGATTCACTGAGATGTTGAAATATTTAGGGGATTAAATTATCTGATTTGTTTTTATTTAACAAGTTGTCAGAGCTATAAAACTATCAGGATAAATATTTCTATGTTGTTAAAATTTAACTTCGGGGATTTGCAATGCAAATATTTTTGAAAATTAAATCTCTATTGATTTAGAGGAAGACTGTCTCTTTCTTGACCTCTTAATATTTCAAACAGATTCTTGGCTTCGATTTTACTGGCCTAGAAATACAAAATAAAACCCTGATGAGATCAAGACGAATTTGCTTGAGTAAGTGTGAGGGTTTTTTTGCTTGAGCACACCCTCCCCCACCGTCCATGTTCAAAGGTTCATCCTCAATTTTGGGGAATAAACTTGCAAAAATTTTTCACAAAAGTTGGTGAAAGAATTATGATGCGTCATCAAGTCTTAGTTTAAAATTCGTCACCTTTTTAACATTTCATTTCAGTAAGGTGTGACTTCATTAACCCTTGAATAGTCATCGTATGATAATTAACTCTTTACTAACCAGATTTACAAGTAAAGTGAAAGATTTGAGGATTAAAATTCTGATTTGTTTATATTTGACAGGTTGTCATCAAGATATACCTATCATTTAATTTTAGACACACCGATCAATATTTCTTAATCCTTCAAAATTTCAAAATACATGTAGTTTCAATGGGTTTGTCAAGAGACACAATTCATCATCAAAGTAGACTTATTATTGTGGTTTAACTAAGATTAAGTATGCAAATTAAGGGACATTTTTTAACTCATCTGTATTGTGTCATGAATACGCCACATATTACTTTGAATGACGTCGTCTAATTTTAAATGACGTCAAACAATATGTGACGTCAAAATTAAATGTGACGTCGCCAAAGTTTTGTAACGTCAAGGCGCATGTGCATAATTCGTACAGACACAATACGAGAATTTTGTTGGTTACGATTGTCTGTGTATAAAATCGTACGATATTATTGTCTGGCTAGATATCCGGAAGTGACGGTGCTTTGAAAAAAAAAGTAGTTTTTCTGTTTTCAATAAAAGTATGGAGTTTTCGAACAATGATTTGGCGAGGAATATGTCAATTTTGGATCTACATCACAAATACCTGAGGAATATTACTGTATTTTTGAGGAACAATAAGTACAAACAATCCCCTAGACCTCAGTATAATGTTGCATACCTAGAGGCTATGGTTTATGAATAGACAAGTGTGTATTATTGTCAATACTGCCCGGTAAAACTATGATATATCACTTTTAATCCCTTTAACCCTCTACATGTCTATATTTTACGTAACGGAGAACTTAGAGTAAAAATTTCACAGGAATGATGGATGATGTTCTGTCAAAATAAGACGATAGCTGGTGGCAATCTTCTGACTTATTGCTTCAAGCCTTCAGGCCAAATATAAACTTATAACATTGTCTTTGTATTCACACCAAACGACATGATGTCAGCCTATTTTTACATCTGTAGGGAATTCAGATACGGATATGTATATTCAAACTAACTTTATAGGCTTGGTCAATTCCTAACGAGTACAAAATTCAAATACTTTAAAACCTGGCTTCTGAATGCAAATGCAATTCGATTGATATATTCATAGCCATGATGCGTAGCTTCTTTGAAATTCATTTTGTAAAAGAACTCAAATGCAGATGATGGCCTAAGTCTCCACGTTAAAAGTCTAAAACGTTGGTGTGTATTTGCCTTTAGCCTATGCCCACTAGTTTTTGACACATCAAGATTTAAGAACGCTTTTGACAATTTCCACAAAAGGACGAACCTAAAATATTTACTATGCCTGCATACTTTCTATATGAAAGTGATTCTGTTTTTGTTTCAATAAGCGTAACTATCTGAATGCATCTCCAGCTGCCGTTTTAGATACACCATCCTCATCAGGACAGCTAGTTTTAGAAATGGAGGTTAACTTTCAATACAGGACTTAATGTTAGCTAATTGACTAGAGCTTATCTCTTAATGCTAACATGTTTCAGATATACAATCCTCATCAGGACAGCTAGTTTTAGAAATGGAGGTAAACTTTCCAAAATAGGACTTAACGTTAGCTCATCTCATACTGTCGACACATGTTTCAGATACACAATCCTCATCAGGCCACCCTATTTTGGAAATCCTGGCTATCTTTTCAACATAGGACTTAATGCTAGCATATTTTAATTAAGCTAATCTCATACTGCTGATATGTATTTTCAAGTTATCAAAATGGAAAGCATTTTCTTATTAAGTTTAAGATAAAAACCCAAGAAATTGGCTTTATTTATGAACTATTTTGTGATACTGGAAAATAGGATTTATTAAAATCGATATTCAAAACGTAAAAACAGATATCTTATATGACAATAAAAGATATGATTTGGAATAAATCGAAAAAACTTTCTCGTTCAGGGCAGTATTCCTTTGTTCACATTAAATACTCAATAGCTTTAAGTATTATAGAACAATTCATTGTAGATTTCTTTTATTAGCAATTCATATACTTATGAAAGTTACACACGCGAGGGGTTAAATGGCCCAAAACGTTCTAAATCCCCCATGTTCACGGCCGCCTTGTCAATCTTTGGATCAATGTCAATCATAGATTTCTAGGCGTGGAGAAAGGCCATAAAATATAGGAAACAAAACATTTAGTAGGTCACAGTGGCCGAGTAAGCCCTGATTTCCCCTACCGCGTGAATCGAGCTTTTAGCGTCGAGGCTTCTGATTGGTTGAAAGTAGAGACAACATCGATCTTTGGCCGCCATTAAAATATGGTAGCTTTGTGAGTGGCAAGACGAAACATCCCTCCCTTTTCTGTCACGTTTACCTCATTTATGTCATCTAAAAACATTGGCCGAACAATCAGAGTTTAACTTTGGATATTAGTCGATCAGTTTGGATTATCAATCGTGGATTAGCTCGGAATAACTTTGTGATTTCGGCGTTTTAGCCGAAGTGTGTTTCCTCACTGTAAAAATGGACGATCAACAAAGACTAATGCAGATACAGGGCCAAATGAATAATATGGGGCAAGGCGGGGGATACGATGGGATGCCACAAACAGTACCCCAAGATCCCGACAGAAAACAAGAAATTGGAGATATTTTACAACAAATTATGACTATTACCGACCAAAGCTTGGACGAGGCTCAAGCGAGATGGGTTTCAGGGTAAGCAAGAAATCGTTCTTTTTAATATCTTTTCTTCTTTATTACTATCTTGGCTCTTGTCTAGGATTATCTTCAAGGAAATTCTCCTATAAATTTGTATGCTTCTGATTACCTATTGGTCTTTGCTTAACTGTCAAAGACGGCAATGTTTTCATGGTTCTAATCGTCTAAGCGCTGTAATATTTTAACATTTGATAATTTGTTTTTGGCTACGCATAAGGGTCTTTTAGTATTGTTATTGAATATGCTTAGATGTAAAATATTATATGGTATTTAAGCTTAGATATGTTTTGAAAACTCCAAAACAAACTGTTTGCAATAATAAAATACTATGTTATACAGTACAACATATGGTTAACTGTATCCGTAACTAGACTGGTGGATATACTAATTCTAATATGCCTGTTTTCTCAAGTTTCTATTTTGACAGATCATCAAAGTTAATGCCTTGATGAAAAGTGCATCAAAACTGTGTATGCGTGCTTAACAAATATTTTTTGAAATATAAGTTAATAAGTTCTCTTTGAATATTGAACTTAGTGGTATTTGGTGTGAATTGTGCTGATATCTAAAGTCCATATCATGTAGGCTTACCATTCATAAGTATTTTTATTACTTTCAGAAAACACACGTTAAATTGTCATCGGATGAAGCCAGCATTATTTAGTGTACTATGTGAAATCAAAGAAAAAACAGGTTAGTGTTATATTTTTAAGCACAGCTTGCCGGCACTTAAGGGTACCTTACATCACTGTGTAATTCAGAGAGTCCACATAATGTATATTCAAATTGCAATTGCCCATTTGGATTCTCCTTCAGAGAGTCCACATGCATAGCTAATAATGTTTATTTGGTATTTAGTTTGTCAACTCAGCATCCCTTTCAGAGAGTCCACATATCTAATAATGTTCATTTGGTATTTAGGTTTGTCAACTTGACATCCCTTTCAGAGAGTCCACATATCTAATATTGTTCATTCGGTTTACCAACTTAGCATCACTTTCAAAAAGTCCATTTTAGCAAATTATTCTGCAAGTTTGAAAATTAAAAAATGTAATAGTGTATCTTTAAATCTCCAGGCCTAATATAACATCAATATTATAGTCAATATATCAATAACAAACATTTATACATTGTTGCTGTAGGCATGAAATATCATCAATATACTCAAAACAAATAGTAGAACATTTCACTACAATGTTGCTGCAGTCAAAACAAATAATAACTTCCAATAAAGAGTGGGCAATATCAGTCATCATATACCACAGTAAGAATTAGGTCATGACAACAATGTTTCTTCAGACATGCAATATCATCAATATACTGTCAACAAAGTATTTTTAGAGCTCAGTTGGAATTTTAGTGCAAACTTCAATGTTTTGTTTTAAGTTAGTGTTTTTCATGGACGACTCCACTTATCAATCATGATCTTACAAAATTTTATTCATCTTATGTTAAAATTAAAAATTTTATTACAAAAGATAAAATAACTTTAAATTAAAGAAATCTTAATCTTTAAGTGTTATCCCATTGCTTGTCACTCCAATCTCTCTCACCCCCCTCCCCTCCTACTAACTTTTCCTGTTAAATTGAATTGAAATTTTAGGGATTCTATCGGTAATATAGCTAGAAATTAAAAGTGTTCAGTAGCCAGGTGTTAAAATAGAAGTTCTTAACTGTAATATTTATCACCTATAGTAATTAACTCGTTAGCTAATTAGATTAACCTGATTAATAATATAGATACCTGTAATTTTTATTGCCCTGTTAAAATCACATAGCTACTGTAGGCTTTAATACTTATTTGAAATAAGTAAGTCTGCAATATCAGCATCTGCTGGAAGCGAAGGTTAACTTGTCATTTATTACTCAACCTTAGAAGTAAGTTTTTTAGGCTTGTGTATGTGTATCAGGGATACTTATAGCTTCTATTTACACCATTTTGATTTTTATGGCTCTCTATGGTTCCTGTAATTCAAGAAAAACTTGTATCAATTGGATAGTGACGACATCTGGATTTGGAAGGAACCAAATATGTCTGACTGAAAATCCAACAGTGACGTCAAAAATTTATCAAGATTTCAAGAATTCCAGTTACTATAGTCATCAAAACAAGATTACTGCCTATGTTTCTTATATGCCTTGACTCAATCAAACCTATATACTAGCAAATCATAACAAAATAGAAAAAAACTTTTCTTCAGAAGTAGAATCAAATTGATAAAAATACCATCTAGAAGCTTTCAAGCTTGATATAACCCATCCCTGTATTTCTATAAGGTTTGAAAGAAAACAGAATCTGGTAACTTTCATAGCTAACTTGATAAATATGAGAAAAATCAAATATATTTTTATTTCTTTCAAATTCTTATGGTTCCTTTCAATATATTATGATTAATGGTCGTTTGGTCTGAAAGGAATTAGGTTAAGCAAAAATTTTCTTTGTTAAGTTAGATAATAGATTGTCCTGCTCAAAAAAAATTGTACCAGACATTTGTTGAAATTGTGCCAGCTTCCTTCATGTATTAGAGTGTCACAGGCAGAGATTTGACAGAAAATGAATATAGCGCCAATGATTTTTTAATAAGATATGGTGCAGTATCTTTCATTTGGTCTGTCAGTTACAGTATTTCTGTCTAAATCTAAAATTTCTATCAAAATATTACTCTGGGATAGCACTTTTAATGAAATATATGTCTGGTTTAGCATCTTTTGTGTTAAAATTTGCCTGGTAACACCTCTTTAAGTCAGTCATTATGCGACGAAATATCTGGTACCACCTCTTTAATTCCGTGTCATAAAGGAATGATGTATCATCTCAACAGCAGCCATACATTAATCTAGAGTATTTCATCATTGAGGCATCGTCTTTACAAATTGACTATTTGCTTTCTTCACTCTTTCTCTCGCTCTTTCTCTTGCTTTCTTTACTTGCAGACAGCATTCAACTGATTAAATGGCCTCTATTTACAGTTTGTTTTTAAAATCTGTATTTATGACTAGTGTCGACATCATAGCATAATTTTTCTATTGAAATTTTTCTTGGGTATTAAAAGAATTGTAAAGAGTTTTTCTAAACTTTTTCTGTGTATCAGGGACATTGATAGCATCAATTTGCACCATTCCTATTTTCAGTCAGACGTCTGTGGTTTTAGCAAATCAACTAAAACTTAGTATTTATGACGTCACTATCAAAAAAGTTGTTAATAATGTTTAAGAGTTTTTGCAATAGTGACGTCATAAAAATGGAATTTCAGGAATCACAGAAATCTGACAAAAAATTTGAATGATGCAAATAGAATCCACAACTCTTGAAGCACATAAGTTTAGAAAACCTTTTTACAATCCCTTTAATCAAAACCAAACAATAGATTGTACCATGGGCTGAAAACAGCGAGCAAGTACTGCATCCTAAAATATTTTTGCCTAAATAACAGACCGTTATAGAAAATAGTTGTCTAAAAAAACCTGGAGGATTGGTTGATTTCCATTAAAGCTGGTTAATAACCTGAGCTATAGACCTGTCAATCAAATATAAATATTTGATATCTGATCTGGTGTAACTCAAGATGGCAACCATTGTTTTCATCTGTTTCTAGATTTTACAGATAATCTACATTCGATTCTGTCAGATAGGGTCGAACAAGATTAAATAAAATATTAGTTACACGGCCCTAGCAAATTTTGCCATAGTGACGTCATAAAACATTTTATATTTTAATGAAATTACAAGAACCACAGACATCTGATTAAAAATTTGAAGGGTGATATTCAATGCTATCGATGTCCCTGATACACCTAAAAAGTTAAGAAAATTTCTTTACAATCCCTTTAAATTTCAAATCTGTAGTTATTTTTGAAGAGAAAGCAACCAACCTAAGTTGAAGAGTAAATTCGTATAATCCTAAGATTGTAAAAATGAATTGATTTGTGCCTCAGGTATTTGTACAGACAATATCAACGGTTATTCTATAAAATGCTGTGTTTTATCAATAAAACAAAACCTACTAGAAAAAAAAATGTAAAGTCATAATAAATGATAGTAGTATATAATTGTGTAGTTATTAACAATGATTTCTATATAGTAACATCTGTATAAGAGTTTTATTGAGTCTTGAGTAAGATTGATGAAACACAGAGAACATGGTGTGCAACATCTTGCTTGACAAGGTGACAATTTTGAAAGACTTACATTGTATGACTTTCAATTATTTATTTCAATTGACCCCTATATATTTTAACATCTGACATTTTTCTGACTTGTTTTACTATTTTTTTGTATGATTTTATGACAATGAAAAATGAATGGGTTTTGAATTTCAAATGTAACATATTGCTTTTAATAATAAGCTTATGATTTTTTTTTATTTTTATCTTCTTTCCTTGATTTCTGTATTAACTTCAGTTGAAATAGAAGGTACTGTCCTGGCAAAATTTCCCTCATCAACAGTTCTTAGAACTCCATTCATTTCATTTCATTAAATTTCTAGGTTTTTATTCAAATTAAAGCCATGACCAATTGTTTATGATGTTTTAAGCATGCCCTGGCATACAAAATACATGAAAATTGCTAATTAAATTCAAGAAATTCTCTATTTTCACCCCAAACTGTCAAAGCGCTTATTTTAAAAGGAATAATAAGACCCACAGACATCTAACTGAAAATTAGAATGATGTTAATTGATGTTATCAGTGTCCCTGATAAGAACAAGAAAATACATTTAAAAACCTTTTTTACAATCCATGCTTTGATGTAAGCTTAAATGAATTAAAAGAAAATTGTAAAGTAAATTTAAGAATTTCTCTCCATTTTCGCCCCCAGTCTGTCAAGTTACATGATTAATGAAGTAAAATGTTGTTGTTTATTGTTTATTGTTTTAAATATAGTTATTCTAACAAACAATCTAAGAATAAGATGAGTTTTCAGTGTGCCGTGAAATTTAACAGACTTTTTTCAGTTTGGAGTAGATTTACTGTACGTTGTGTTTTCTATAGTTACATACTGTACAGGGCCTTGTTCTTAAAAATTAACAGGTCCAGATAATAATTCTGACGCATGTGCCAGTGCTTCTGAGAGTCCGTCAGGTGGCGGCTCTGACTTTCTAATACCATGATTTCCCTTGTCAGGTCTGAGGGGCCACTCTCTCAATATTTGCTTTGTGATAAAATAGAAGTTTTATGTATGTTTAACTAGTATGTGGAAAGCGTTAGTTTTAAACAAGGAAAGAGAGAGAAGTTATAAATTAGATAAAATACTATACACTACACTGTAATAGACTCTTATCTCTTGTATATAGGTACAACTACCACTGAAAAACACAACAAACTCAAATCTCTTTACTTTATGACTCAGCTTCATTCAATTTAAATTCATTTTAATGAAATACAATTTGTAAATTTTTACACTCTCAGAACTGTGAGGTTTGAGTTGAAAAATGAAATCAAATATCGCTATGAGGTGTTTTGGACCTTTGAAATATAAAAAAATTTACTTGGATTCTTTCGATAAATTTTGAAATTGTGTGGATTTTAAATCAATTTAGAGTTAAGATTAATTTTTAAGTTAAATTTTTGGTAAAGGAAGCTTAAGAAATTCTCGAAAAATTCTCAAAATAGGGCTTGTGTTTTTGAAGAATTGTTCTCCCTAAGAATACAAAAATTTTCAGAATTTCAGAATTTTATGCCATTCTGTTTCACTTTCACTTTTATTGAACACACGGTGATCTGCATTTAGGCCAGTATTTTCAAAGAATAGTCTTCTTACAAAGTCACAGACATAAGGGATTCAGATCTAATGCAGAATATGTCATTGACATTACACTATACGTTGATATTATTTATGCATTTAGGGGCTTATAATGTCAAAACTAAACCCTTAAAACAGTCTTTATATTAATCCTTTATCCAACAAACTGGATTAATAACTCACAAAATATCAAAAAGTTAATATTCATATATTCAAACTGGTCTAATCTTTCTAAAGAGTTTGATTGACAGGTATAGTCTAGTTTAACCAGCCTTTATCTAATTAACAATGTGTATTTACACGTCTTGGTGATCGTGACTATAAACTAATATAATATGCATATAATTTTAAAAGCGAAGTTATATTACGCCAATAAAAACACAAGTATATTTAAATAATTCGGCAAATAAGTGTGTACTCTTCTAATAGCCTGACTCAGTTTTAAAATTATTTTAATTGGGGTCCCTTGCTGATTTTATACCTACTTCAACACCCCTATTCAAATGGCCCCAATTTGCTGTGTAAATTTTAACGTGTTTGTTTTTACCTGTGCTGCTCTATCTAACTAAATTGAGTTTCAATATTGTTATATATTCACAGTTAAAAACAGAAAATTCCACAAAAAGAATTAAAATTCCACAAAGTTAATGCAAATTCATGAAAGTAAATGACGAAAATTTCCCACCAAAATTTTTAAAATCCTTTAGACTAATGAAATATATTATTTATTTGCAGTGCTCAGTATTAGAAATACACAAGAGGAAGAACCACCAGATCCTCAGTTGATGAGATTAGATAATATGTTGATAGCAGAAGGAGTTGCAGGCCCTGAAAAAGGCGGTGGTTCGTCGGCTGCTGCTAACGCTACAGCAGCTGCTTCAGGAGGTCAACCAGATGGCGCTATTGAACATTCTGATTATCGAGCCAAGTTAGCCCAGATTCGACAGATTTATCACACAGAACTTGAAAAATACGAACAGGTAGGAATCCCGATTATTGGAGCATGTGCAAATTTCAAAATATTTTGAAATAAAGTCTGAAATTTTTATCTCGAAGGGGCTCCGATTAGAACAAACACAGCAGTTTGATGGGTAATAATTGATTTAAAATATTGACCTATCAGATTAACCGAAGCGTTGTATTTGCAGGCGTGTAACGAGTTTACGACCCATGTTGTTAATTTATTGAGAGAACAGAGTAGAACACGACCGATTGCACCCAAAGAAATAGAAAGAATGGTGGGAATTATTCGTAAAAAATTCTCGGCTATCGAGATGCAGTTGAAACAGAGTACTTGTGAAGCTGTTATGATTCTACGGTCACGATTTCTAGACGCCAGGTAAGGCAGCCATCTTGAATTACTCGGAGAAAACCGACAAGTGAGATAGACATGAAATGAGTTCAATAACCGTCTTAAGAAGGAAGTTAATGATAAATGAGTCAAAGATTGGAAGGGATTTGGGGCAGTACTTACTGTGGTCTTAAATATATGTTCAAAATGAATTTCAAGGCAAATTATTACCTTGAAATGAATTTTTTGCATTTATGTGTACACAGGTATCAGAGACACTGATATCATTAATTTGCTCCATTCTGATTTTCAGTCAGTTGTCTGTGGTTCTTGCAATTCCACTAAAAATAACCGTTCTATGACATCGTCATCGCAAACGCTGCTAATAATTTCTAAGGTTAGGTAAATGACCCACTTGTGAACAGGCAAATTTTTGGATTGTCTTCTTATCAATTATGTATTAAAAATCCACCCAGACTCCCCTTTGCCTCATTTTAAACTCAGATTGCCCTACAGCTTAAATATGCTCAGATATATTTTTGCGTGTATTTCAGACGAAAGCGACGTAATTTCAGTAAACAAGCTACAGAAGTTCTGAATGAATATTTCTATTCTCATCTCTCCAATCCCTACCCTAGTGAGGAGGCTAAGGAAGAACTGGCTAGGAAATGTTCTATCACTGTTTCACAGGTAAGGTTCCCTTTCTCAATTTCTTTTTATAAAGGTTGTCCCCTTCTTACCCTTCCTCGTTTATTTTTGAGTTTTCATGTTGATATGGTAGCAAACCCAGAGAAAATACATGAAACAATAGATTCCATATTCACAAAAACTTGACATAAAATGGCAATAAGACATATTTAAACCTTATGAAACCTTATCTAATATGTCCACCCTATGTAATAACCCACAGAAAATACATGAAACAATAGATTCCATATTCACAAAAACTTGACATGAAATGGCAATAAGACATATTTAAACCTTATGAAACCCTATGAAATATGTCCACCCTATGTAATAACCCACAGAAAATACATGAAACAAAACTTCTTGATTTGGGTACCGGTATCTCTTAATACTTCTTAAAAGCTTCTTTTTTCCCATTTTCTTTCAATCAACTCTCGTGGCAATATGGAACTTTGTAACTGGCCGAACATATACATGAAACAAAACATCTAATATCTATAAAGTTTATGATGTCCTATTATAGAAATAAAGAGATCACAACCAAGCTGACTGGACACTTTATTTGGCTTCCTTTATTTCAATCTTTATCTTCATTTATCTTCTTCAAGTTGGACTGTCTGAACATTTCTATTTTTGAAGAATCTTTTTTTTTTTGAAGAAGAAGAATTCTTTGAATTTGTCTGAATCCTGTCTCTATACAGTAACACGCATTTTTATTTAGGAAGAATTCTTGAAATTATCCACAAAATCAGTGGCATAAGCAAGAATTAGAATTGTTTATGGAAGATTTGAACCTATGGCGCCTTGTTGCTTCGTAGAATACAATCCAACTTGCTTCTAACACATACAGAAACAAAAGTAAAGTCAAAACACAAATTTAAAGAAAATTAATATCTAAAAGTGACATCATTTATTTGAAAGAAAAGCATGATTCCAAAATTGATAATTATCAGAGATATAGACCACAACTTTTATTTGATAATTCACATTTTTCACAAAGAGGAAGCCAACTTTAACGAAGCCTTAAAAAAGAACACGACATGCCTATCATCAGTTCCTAGTAGTTCTTTAACATAAGTGCCAGTTCAAAAGAAAAGAAGCTATTTTAAGAAATTAATTTACCTACTTTCTTGAGTTTTTTGTATATTGACAGTGACTGACATTTCAAAATTAAATACGCCAAAGGAAAGAAGGTTTTTACATTGTTTTTACATTTTATGTGGAAATTCGAAAAATTAAGTTCAAAAGTTAAAAAATTAGTGCTATTTGATGAGGCTTAATTGTATTTTCCTCAGAAATAATTTGACTGTGAAGGACATGTATGTTGCAAGGAACAAAAAAACTAACGAACAAAACAAAACTGTATTAGAAATTAAACTATACTTCATGAAAAAATCAAATGAAATTTTGTTTTCCTTTTCTGCTTATGGAGAAAAGCAACACTATAAAGTGTACTATCAAAGAAAATTTTGGCAACACCATGCAGTGTGCAATGAGGAAATTTTGTTAGGACAACATTAGGTATAAAAGAAAACACATTCTCAAAAGTTAATGGCACTGTCCAAATAGTGAGTGACTTGGCACTTTGGTGTTTTTTGTGTTCAGAATGGAATTAGAACATATTGTTAACAAACCAAACTAGGATGTCTAACATGCTAACAGATTGCTACAATGGCATGGCATAGGCCTACTAAACTATGATGTCTACCTAGCTGTTAGATTGTTAGGTACTGTAGCCATTACCATAGTGGTCAGATTGTGGGATATCCAGTGAAAAACTTACGTAACTATCTGGAAATAAAAATATTTAAACTGTAAATGGTGAGAAGGAATTAAATTACAGAACATGTCACCTCATTCATCATTCCCTAATGATTTTCACAGTTTTTATTTTTTTCTTCTTAAACTGCAGTTTTTCTTAAAAATTTTAAATTAAAATTGTAGCATAGATATACATAGTTAACTAAAAATATAACTAGCAATGTATAACATTTTACTAAGAGATTTACGGGCCAGGTTTGTGAGTTATTACAAATGGGGACCCTTTCATATTTGAAAATGAAAAAAAAAGTCTTCAGAAGAACTATAACAATACGAATATCACAGATAATTCTGTATAAACATGGATCGAAGGCTCAAATTTCAATGGTGGGCTGTGTAAACCATTACTGATTTACTCAGCTAAAAAAATCCCCGTTTCTGAGACTAAGTTATGATTGGTAGCAAATGGCTAATCTGTACCTTTAAACTAATGTCTTTTGTTACAGATTTCCAATTGGTTTGGTAATAAACGAATTCGTTATAAGAAGAATATTGGTAAGGCTCAAGAAGAAGCTAATATGTACGCTGCCAAAGCTGCCAGGGCCGCGTCTGGCCCCCCTACTCCACATCAAGACCCCTCGACCCCTCAGAGTAATTTCACTTTCATTTTCTTCATTCTTAATGGCATATATAAGCTTAGTTATCTAAATATTTGCTTTTGCCTCATTTCAGCTGTCTGTGTCTCTTTTCAAAATGAAAATATGACATTCAGTTTGTCTGTAATTGCCAAAATTCTTATTATATTTGAGTTATTTTATTTATTTAGGGACAATAATGATTTTATGTGTCTTATTTATTTTTGAACCTTGCATGTTGGCCCTTCCTGAACACCATATTACTCTCCCTCATAGTTGGGACCAGGGCAGGGCACAACATATACACCCTTCTTGAGGACTACTTTTAAGGCTGGATATTGTGTGCCTGTTATCTATATGACACCCCTCAACTTTCTATTGAACTCTTCCACACATGCATTCTTATGATTGACGATAAACCAAGGCTCGGAGTGCTACAATTACAGACTGTGCATGAAAAGATCCCTCCTCAGTTATAAATTCTCCCATTGCACACTGCATGACTGTGTCTATTTTACTAGACTAATACGGTACTGAAAAGTATGAATGGAAGAGAACTCTGTCCAACGTTGACACTGCTAGAGCACCTGTGTATATTTTAAGATCTATCTATTGTAGGTACAGGAGGGTATGGTATAGGGTCATCAGGTGGAATGGAAGGAGGAATGTATATGAGTTTAAACGGAGATAATTATCCAGGAACAGATAACTCTGTAAGTGAAAATATTCAGGCACAGGTGAGAATTATATATCAATTCATTTATCTGGTACTTTGCCCCTCAAAGATAATCTGATAACTTACCCCTTAGAAATCATTACCCCATAAATTGTGTTTATGTCCCCAGCTAATTTTAATTTTCCTCCCTAATTAATTTGAAAACCCCCAAAGTAAAGCAAAAGTACCAGGTAGAGAAATTGATGGATTTTTTCACCTTTTTGATTGCAATGTTTGATTTAGTTTGCTTATAGTATGTAACGCATGTATCGTACACACGCATGTCTGTTTTACGCATTTTCATCTCATTTCCGTGCATGGATATATCTAGCCCATGTTTCTTAAATTCATTGTCAATTTTAGTGTAAGTGTATATATTTGCTTACAATAAATTTTGACAGGGAATTTTTTCAGCAAAATGGGCTAGTCAATTTGGGTAATTGTAAATATTCGCTTACAATATAATTTGACAAGTATGTTTAAGAGAAACGGGCCTCCCCCCTGACAATAAACAGGTCATGCATGTGTATGTCATTCCCCATGCATGTTTTTAGATGTAATAGCCCTATCCTTGGCATGTTGTATTAGATATTTTTGAAAGCAATGTCAAGGCTAGATCTAACCCATTGCTAATTTTAAAGATAATAAATTCATGAATCAAAATAACACAGAATTTTACTCAAATGAAATCCTGAAAGATATCAGTAATCTGATTGGATGAAATATCAATGGTAGTGATTGACCAATCAGATTACTGGAGAATTGGAGCCCATGTTTACTGAAATCTTAGCAAGTTTCTACCAAAACTCAAAGTTAGCTTTATATAGATCAAGCCTTACTTTGCACATGCATGTTTGTACGACTGCATTCCCATGTTTTATTTTATATTATCCTAGGTGAATGCATTACGACATGTGATATCCCAGAGTGCCGGGTTTACTCCCGATAACGTCCAAACGTCGGTCGGCATGTTCGAACCTCATTTACAACAGGTACACCTTACTTAGTTTTCATTATTAAAGGATTCTTGGTGTGGGGTCATCTGACTTGAATAGCATGTAAAATATTTTCTTCAAATTTTTTAACAACTTAAATTTCAAAATTGCCTTTAGGAACAATTTTTCTTGATTATAAATTCAATCAAAATTGCTAAAGAACATATATTCTGTTATTACTATGTTTGGTGGGTATTCAAAAATTCAAAATTGCTAAAGGATGTCTGCTGTAATTTATCATTATTTTTTGAGTATTTCAAAGTTGTTCCCTTCTGGAATAATTGAAGTGTAAAATTTGAAGAAATAAGATAATTTAGGAATGAAAGGGATTGGAATGAGGTTATGTTTAAATGTTGGCTTTTTGTGGTGTTTGTGATGCATATTTTACATATTGGACTGTATTCAAGATGAGGATTTGAATTTGTGTTTCTGCGCCACCTAGTGGAGCTGTCATATTTCGACGAAGTTTTACATGTAGAGCGTCAGTCTAAAATTTATTCTTAATACTAAATTCACAAAATGGTTACGGAAGAAACATAACATTTTAAATTATTATTGGAGAGTATTTTTGTATATCATTTGCATATTCATAAGGTAATTAATATTCACATTGCTTAATTAATATTCATAATACTCATGCATATTCATAATTTTATTTGCTGATAGCAGTAGGTTGATGGAAGAAGAGGCCAAGACGAATAAAAAGAAATTAGTGTAAACCAAAGAAGCCAATTGAAATAATTCTAGGATTATTTTTTTGGTGTGCAATATATCTGTACAAGTGCTGTATGATTTTTGGGGAAAAAAACTGATTTTAACAAGAAAATTTGTGGAATTTTTGTTATATTTGTGAGTGTAGTTGTTAACCACAAATTTTGAAGACTTTGTTAAATATGGAAGGATATTTTTGTTTTTAAAACTTCTACGCAGAATAAAACGGATTTGAACTCAATATTTTTTACGTCTATTCGAGGATCATTTGTGAATAATTAAAGAAAGTCTACAATTTTTGAAGAAACCACACAAAAGTTTAACAAGTGAAGAAGAGTTTCAAGATTTCGGAAATTAACAGAATCTTAGTTTAATAATTGTTAATGAGCTTTTGTTTTTTGACATTTTATTTTAAGGTTAAGTTTTAGATCCAAAGATAATGTATTTTTTTATGGTTTCTTTAGCTTATTGGGTTGGACAAAGATTTTGAATAGAATGCTCTTATTCAACTTATGAAACATAAATTTTTATAGTAATGTGACCAAAAAGCTGGAAAAGGGTCAATATTTAAGTTGTGTTACAATTTTTAAAGGCATTTCTTGCTCTAAGATCGTCAAATTTTCAAAAATTAAAACACATTGAATGATTTTTACCATGAATGTTTTTTAAGGAATTGTTTGTGCCCAACCAAGCTATAGAAACCTGTATCAGTCCATAAAACGTTAATCACAAAACCTAAAACGACAAATTTCATCCAGCCATCGTCTTCATTTAGCTAATCAGGGATGCTGTAGTACCAAAAATTACTAATAATTTTGAGAAAATTGTCATTTTTGACATGTATTTGGTGTCAGGGTTGTCAATTTGATTGTATTTGCCAGTCATATCTTTGTTGAATTTACCGGATATGTCCGACTCGAGCTCTAGAATGTTGATTTCGTTGTATTTACCAGTCTTTGCTGACTAAAGTTACCAGCCATGTCTGACTAGAGCTGTAGACTGTTGATTTTACTGTCGTTACCAGTCATGTCTGACTAGAGCTGTAGACTGTTGATTTGACTGTATTTACCAGTTTTTCTGACTAAAGTTCCTTACTGTCGTTACCAGCCATGTCTGACTAGAGCTGTAGACTGTTGATATGACTGTATTTACTTCACTTAATGGGAACAGACGTACAACTCAAAAATTCCAAATATGTGTCAAAATTGCTCAAATTTTCTCAAGCTTAATTTTATTCTTTGTTTTTGTTTTTATCGTATTTTGTTTTGTTGTTTTTATTGCATTTGTCTTATTAGAGAATTATAAAAACCTTTTTCACACAAATTGGTACTTTTATTACAAATCACATGGTAAAAAAGTTACAAATACCTGGCCAGATCCATTTTTTGTGTGTAAAACTACGTCAATTTTCAAATTGCATGGAAAAACTGACAGACATAGCTAAATCACGCTATGCAAGTCTGCAAACAGCGTTAACTGATATTTACGCGATATTAGAAGATTGCAATATGGAACGAAAGTCATAAAATTAATTTTCCTTAGAATTGAATTATATTCACGCGATATTAAAATTATAATTTCATTTCTTAAACACGAACCAAAGAGACTTAATGTTCCTGACTACTGTATATAATTTATATATTGAGATTCTATATTTATCATTAGTCTTGATTAACTTGTCTTACAATATCTTGTACGATTGTTGGTTAGCTCGTAAAATAGGCCATTTGTCCACTTGCATTAGAAAAAATTTAAGTCAACTGTTTACACCAAAATATAGCAGTGATTGAATTCTTAACACTTTGAAATGTTGTATATTTTGCAAGTGTGGTTGTCCATAAAATTGTTGGGATTTAGCATAATTTTGCATAGAAATGGGTTGGAAATATTTTCAAAGTATTTATATTTGAAGGCCTATTTTATGATTTTACCACCTGGTTTATTGTGTCCATGAAACTTGAAATAATTCATGTGTTATTTTATTACATTGTGACACAATGTTACATGACAATATTCAATCTTTATGGATACCTTCCTTTCATAGTGCTCAAATTATTTTTACATTTTTGTCGTAAAAATTTTGTCTAATTTTTTTGCACTCTTTCTATTTTCTTTTGAAAAATAGGAAATGTTTTGTCTCTACTTTCTATTTGTTTAAAAGTTGAGAGTTTTGCTTTTTATTCAAATGAGGAACTTATACTTTTGGTTCCAATTGGAAAATTTTGGACTTTGACAAATAAAAAACCAAAGTCATTCCGAAATTTTTTTTAATAGCGTCAGATTCGAAGCTAATTTTCAACTTTTTTTTTAAATCATGGTAATATTGAGACCAAATTTGTCTGAAATGAATTTGTGCTAATTATAGATCTGTCATTATTTGTTGTGGTTGTTATAGAAACGGATTTTGTAAATAATAATCATTATTTCTCTATATTATAGATATCACGTTTATCATGTTTATCGCTCAGTTTATCACTGGATACATTTGAATTCAATTTGGGCTCAAACACCAAAATAATCTTAGAAATTGACTCATGTTTTAAGTTCAAAAGATTCTTGAAAACTAAACTAGGTGGACTCAAGTCGATTGCATATTTGATCAATACTTGGACTCTTAAAGTTAGTCTTTGTATCAATTTTGATCACAAGTTGTCCTATTTCAGTATTTTTTTCTTTCTAACCTTATTATGAGAACAATTTTGAGTCAATTTTTGATAGAAAAACATGAGCAACTTCTAGTTTCTCAAATGTATTCAGTAATGAAAACATTTTCAGCATAATTCATCATTTTATTTCAACCTTATATCATTTTTCAAACATGCTCACACAAATATTGAAAATAGAGTTGAAATCAAAAAAAAAAAAATACAACTGATTCTCAATCTGAAGTCATTGGCCTTTTAAATCCAGGAAAGATCAAAGAGGTTTAGCCACGGCCCAGACAGGATCTGTGTGAATTTTAGTTTGAATTCAACTCAGTTTTAACTATTTGTATGCGTATTTAAAGGGTTCAACCACAATATTCCTGGTATTAAAGGAGATGTTTATTGAAGGGTGGTATATTTCGTGAGTGCTATCGTTTGTAAAATATCCTATTTGTATAGTGTAATGTTTAGTCTTCATACATAAAAGAGACTTGATGATCAAATAAACACACATATCAATTTCAATAGACAACATCTACAGGTGCGAATATATAAGGTAAAATGAAAGATTATTAATACAGTAAAAAATAGACATGACATGATATACCTGATGCGTCTAATTCACGTGCTCAAAGTCATCGTGTATTAGCACCTGAATTTGTTTCAATATGAAATAGCACTTGGATAAAAACCAAAGATATTTGATCGTCCAGTCTCCAAACTATATATATAATACTGCTTTATTTCTGATACCAAATATCACAAAGTTGTCATTGAAACATCTGACCATCAACAGTTAATTAGAGAGAATTATTGTTTTATTAGTGTTCATGTAAAAATATCATATAAACAAATAAATTATAGACCATTAAAATATACTGCAAAATTTCTTTTATCCCTGCCCCACGGTTTCTTGGGGCACATCAACTGTAGAAATCTTATAACATATTACATCAAATTATTTCCCTTCCCCACCATTAGTTCAAGCCCCATCATGTCCCCCTCAGAGCTAAATATAAATCCGTGCCCACACTTCAGCCACAATTCATAGTCGTTAAGCAAAATTATCGAAATGCCCTTTTTCCCCAAAGTGAAAAGGTGTTCTATGGATGTAATCAAGGATATGGAACATCTTATCAAAGTATTTTTAAATAGGGCATACAAAACTTTTACTGGTAAGCCTTGTTACTTTGCAACAAATTTCTCAGAGTTAATCATCATTGCATGTGTTATTTATTTCATAATTTCCACTTAGTCCCATGTTTATATTTTGCTATGTTTTCATTTTTAACTGCTAATATTAGTTTCACAACTAATTATTACTAACATATTTCTGTGCTTCTAACTTATTAAATTAACAGCTGACTAATTTTTAATTTACAATTTTCTTTATTAGATTTTAGTTTAGTTTTTTCCTTTTATTTGTAGTTGTTAATTTTCTATAATTTATGATCTGCTCCTCTTGTAGTTTTTAATTCTCAGTCTTACTCATTTCCTTGTTTTTTTTTCATTAGCAATTTTACGCTGCCTTGTTTCAAAATGAAAGCTATAGAGATGTAGGGCTTAATGTTTACACCAAATGAATAAGCTATATTGACTTCTAAAAAGAGCTGCCTAGTTGACCAAACTGAAATGCATCAGTGTTCTAAGCTATTTTATTTAGGGACAACAGCATTAGCTCTTAAAGCCTGACATACTCAAAAATCACTACGCCAGTCAAATTTCCCCTCTTTTATAATAAAAGTTCAATCTGACCCACATTCTTTTTTGACCTTTGGTACTCTAAATTGAGATTTTAGTTGTCTAAATCTCTGTGATTTAGTTTTTAGTTTTCTCCTAACCACTGTAACCCTCTCTCTATGTTCTCTTTGTTTCTAGATGACATCATACCAACCTACTAATCCCCACCCTAATATAGTACCGGGCGTGGCCGAGGGGCTGGATATCACAGACAACAAGGAAGATAACTGGGTAGGCTATTTACCTACAATGGGAGCACCTGATAATGAAGACTACAGTGATAGCAATGATGAGGAGGTCAAACATCCATCAAATTGAGGTCAAGGGTCGTAGGTCATATGCAAATTAAGTAAAGTGGAGTTGATTGAAATGAATGGAGTTTTACATTCTACTTTTCTGCACCTTATTAAGTTGTAACGCAGACGCAGCAAAAGGAAATTTGCAAAAGGCAAAGGACCCTAGATTCAATCTAAAGACAAAAGTATATGTTATATACGAGTATAAACATGTTATTTGCATAGAATATAATACAATAAACTATACAAAATATTTTAAACTCTTTTCACTTCTACATCCTGATTTTGAGTAATCGGTCATCATGGCTAAAGTCTGGTCTGACAACTCAGTTCTTCAGTGAGGAATTGAACACTTTCCTGAGCATTCATAACTCCATACTGCTATGTTAACTCCCTTCATTTGCTAGACATTTTCACAACACTTTCAGCTCCCATAAAAGGCTTATCTGCAGTCCCTAAGGAAATTTTTTGTCAGCTAAAACACGTTCATAAACCACTATGTATCTGTCATACTGTTTGAATCAGTTTGCATCTTTTTGCTACACAAAAATCCTTATAATCAAACAGTTTGCCAAGTCACATTCCTCCTTATAGTCTCAAAGTTTGCAACATTATACGTTAAAAATCAAATGTGTTTGACTGTTCGTACACTTATAGATACTTCCTGATTGTCACAAAGTTTGTTACACTATATTTTAGATATATATTTTGCAAATAAACACTTGATAGTTTATTCCTAAACAAACACTGATAGATACTTCCTGATTGTCACAAAGTTCTCAACAATATACTTCAAAATCAAGTTTGCCCACAAACACTTGATAGTTTATTCCCTATTGTCACACAGTTTCATTTCACAAGTTCGCAAAACACTATAATCCAATTTAAAAACACAAATAAATCCTAAATACGACTGACATCAAGTTTGCTTGTTGTTCTCAGATTTAATAGCTGTAATATAAGACACAATTTGCTAAATATTGTCAAGTTAAATTGTCTCCTACTTTGGCATATGGTTGGTAAAATGAGAAAAATTATTGCTGAGTTTGAAGTAAAGATGTTACAGCACTTCATTCCTTGACCCTCTACCGAGTCAAGATATACCCAAGTGAAGCAACTGTTAACAAATGATGTCACTCACCCAACTTTAACATCTTACACTTCAAGTTATATTACGAAGAGTTCAGAGTATTTGACCTTTTATATTATTCACATCCAATTTCAAAAAGGTAAATCCGGCTATCTTAGGAATTTTGTTACCATACTTACAAGATATATACCTAGAAGAGCCGTTACCAACTGAGGTCACATAATATTTTGATCATAATCTCCAAGCTACTACTTAAAGTTCAGGGTACATGATATTCTATTCATACCCAGTTAGAAAGGGTTAAATATGGCTATTTCATATTGAAAGATTAGCCGCTGGTGAAGCAGCGTTTACCAAGTGACCTCACATACACTTGAAGTTATATTACTTGGAGTTCAGGGTATATGATGTTTTAATTTTCTCACATTCACTGTTTAAAGGAGTAAACATTTTAAGTTATTTCAAAGTGACTAGAGACACTAACCTGCTGTAACCTTGGAAACACATTTTTCAAAATCTTTGTACTCTTCCCCACAATTCTGAAGGCTGTCTCGATTTTTCAACCCACATTGTTCATATTTCTTGAATTCTTTTTCACATTGAGATCTAATAGAAGTGATCAGAGGGCTGAAAAAAGGGAAAAAATTTGTCAAAATTTAGATGAGACTAGGCCAAGTAATGTGTGCAGTGTTCAATGTGGTAAATTTTCAAAAGATAAGGATTTGAGTTTTCCAAGACAGTCAAAATATGTTCAGTCCTTAAACACAAAAGTGACAAGGCACTCTCTACCATTCGGTCAATCCTTTTAGGATGACAAACTTACAGACATTTTGTGTATAGGCCCTTGTGTCAGTCCCTTCAATCTGTATCCATGAAATTTTGAAAACTCAAAAGGGGCTATCTTGGAAGATGATAGCCCATGATGGTTTCAGCATTTTAGCTTACATAATGTCACACTCGTTAAGGTAGAAAGTTAAAGAACCAAACTTACTGTGTTTCAGCACATTTAGTAAATTTGTCTTTCTCCTTGGTACAATCTAGATGCCAAGTTTCTGGGAATCTTTCAATACAGGTTCGATAACCATCATAATATCTTCGACACTTCTGTTCTGCTATACCTAATGCACCCTCCCTGTAAAAAAAAAACAAAGCTTTTGACTGAAAATGATATCATATGAGAATTTGAAAGCCTGTAAAGACCGTTTGAAGAGAAGAAGAAGGCTAACCTAAACCTAGTATTATAATGCATGCCTTAAAGGTAGAGCACGGAAAGCATGAACTGTATGGGAGGGTAAGTGTGTAGCTCAGATATAAATGTCATAAGTCACTGCAAATTCTTTTTTTAGCGTCTCCTAAAGTTTTCAGCGCAAATAAACCGTGTCATTGTTCAAATTGTACACAGACATAATCTCAAATACACAAACTTACATTTCCAAGCAGAATTTCTTGTATTTTAATCCTTTTAGACTCTCAAAAATTACTTTTAAGTTTGTTTTCTGCACACTTCTGCTTTCCCTCAATCGCCTGTCGGCTGCTTCAAAATGTCAAAACTTCCGGTCTGTGAATTTTTTCCACAAACCGAAAAACTGCCTTTATTTTGTGTCTTTTCTGGATTTGTCAATGCGAAATTCGACCCTTTCTTTTACAAACATTCAATAGAAAAATAATTAAAATCAATTATAACACCTACAACCCAAGAATTGGCAACTTTTCTCAGAGAGATAGTCAAATAGCGGTCAAAGGGAGAAAACTCTATTTAACGCACTATCAAATTTCAGACTACAATTAATTCTTCTTAAAACTGAAGGCTTAAACACCTGCTAAATATGGTCATAATTTTTGCTAATTAACATCATTGAATCTCAGTTAACATTTTGGGCTAGTTTTGCGAGAACCTAGGCCAAATACAGCTTTATAAAATCTCTTGGTCTTGTGCTCTATGTCTGTGCTTAGCACAAATCAGGATGACACTTCAACAGCTTCGACTATATTTTTGGGGCTGGATTACAGTGTAACAAATAAATCATATTTAATGTCTATATTGAGTTTTATTCTTTCACAAATAAATCTATTATTATATTCTTCAGAGATTGTAACAATGTTTCTAAACCTTTGGGCAAACGAGCGATCTTGGTTGGAGATTCCTTTTCCTTTCGATTGCATGCTCTACATGTGATTATCTACATGGTGAAAAACGACCGACTGGATTTTTTTGCCTCCTTGTGTGCCTGTGCCAGTCGGTGAAACTCAACAAGACTCTAGTCTGAAACAAAAATCTTTGAAAAAGACCGCTCTTGTGCCCGCACCTTTAATGTGTATCAGGAACAATGATAGCATCAATTTACATCATTCAAATTTTCAATCAGGCAATATAAAAGTTTAGAAAAACTCTTTACAATCAAATTAAATAATGGAACAAAATTACTGAATGATTTAAATTGAAATATTAGTTCTGACTCAAATAAATTCTATCAAAATAATGCTGTTACTTGGCTATTACCTGACTTCCAATACTTTTAGAGTAGCTTAATGGTAAAATATTAAAACTAATAAGTATAATGCTGAATATTCAGTAGGTTAAAATTTCAATCAAAATAAATAAATAAATAAATATAATTTATATTTAAAACTATAAAACAGTATCACAGAAATTATAGGACTTGAAGAAATATACACAGAATTTCATCATTCAAACTCTAAAAAAAATATACAGTACTAGAAATATTAAAACTGAAATTAAAGTCTTTAAACGGCATTTAGCAATTGTGAGTACAATATATAGACATAGCTTTATAGAACAACAATCACTGGTTAAAGTTTTATGCAACGTTTCGATGTGTTTCCCCCATTATGTGCCTGAGGACGACGGAGAAAACATGTTGAAACCAGTGATTGTTGTTCTATAAAATTGTGTCTATATAAGACTTCAATACAGAAAACCCACAGAAGTTACAATCTTGGCCCTACTTCTCAAAAACATCTTATGATAAAGTTTGTCGTAACTGGGGTTCTTCTGACAATTTCTACAGTAAGATTTTTGGATAAATTGAATACAATACAGAGCTAAATAAAAACAAGCTAGTAAAGATTTTTCACTTTCTGGACTGATTTCTGCCAACTGTCCATCCATCTTTCTTCAGATTTTAACAGTTTTTCTTTCTCAATATGGATCTCTTTCAACGTTCGCTCGAACAAATTTTGATAATGCTGAAACAAAAACACGATAAAAATCAAATGCCATATGAAAATAGGTCGGTTGTCTGAAAATCACATAGAGTGAAACTCTGAGTAACAACATGATTCAAGTTCTGTTTTAATATTTCTAAATTCCAAGATAGATAACTTTGAGACTATGTCTTTAACTTTCATGATGTCACTTGGTAACAACCACTTCATTGGTAACTTAGGAATATTCAAAAAAAAATTTGTAGTCAGGAGAGTGGTCAATTGAGAAGGTAAATATAAAAAAAAAAAACTATCTACGCACCTCATAAGCTTGTTCTCGACACATGACAACAGCCTGATGACCGAGGGTAGTTTTTAAAGTCGTGACTGTAGCCGTGTATTCTACCTCATCTGCTCTCTCTAGAGGATCCACAATCAATTCATTATTCGGTAGACCTGAAAAACCATAAGCAAAAGATGAAACTTGCTGGGCCTAGACCTAGAAAAGTAGTAACAATAAACCACTATTAACTTGCTTTTCTTACACCTGCTGGAAAAAAGTTTAGAACGATACAAACCTGGCCAAGTTCCTTTTCCTCTTGGTATTATCTCCCCTTCTTCCCCATCTTCCAGACTCTCTCCAGCAGCTTTACGTCTCATCAGCTCCTGGGTTGGATAGCGTCGAGGTGGTACTCCTGAAATTTAGTTAGCAAAATCATATTATTGCCTAACATTCAATTAGACAATAAACCAAGGCTCTGTGTGCTACAGACTATACATGATAAAGATTACTCAACAGTTGTCATTGGAATAAGAGTAGAACAGAGGAACTGTCATTAGACAAGAAAATCTTAAGGGACAATAAATAAAAGCTCTATCTACTACAGACTAAGCAGGTTTAAGATCACTCAACTGTTAGGCTAATGCCTAATTTCCTTCACCTCATAACCCAGCTGATGCTGTTTTGAAAGCAAAATATCACTTCACACAAAAATAGAAATTTCCCTTATTGCACACTGAATGCCAATACAATAAGGCAACAATAGAAATAGAATTGAGAACAGGAAATGGCCAACTTACGTCCAACCTGTACTTCATCAACAACTGTAATATTATCATATTGTGATAGTTGGTTCTCAGCAGCCCGGGCTATAGTTTCTATAAACTTCTTACTCTGTTCTTTTAAACTGGCCTGAAAATATCAGAAAATATATGAAATGAAATGAAATGAATGGCTAATGATGACAGGCAACACCATGAAGTGTACAATGAGAGAAATTTTGACATTACGGCGGCAAATGCTTTCTCTTTTCGATCTCAAACAGTCAAGGAATATTTAGTGCCTGAAAATATCAGCAAAGACAAAAGATATAACTTTCAATCTAGTCGACAAGATTTCAACTAGTCTTATATAGGACTTTGGGCTTATGAACAAAGTAAACAAGTTCATTCAGACTCCTGTCTCCTATTCATTTCATTGAATAGAGCTCATCCCCTGCTGCTGATACACAATCCTCATCAGGACAGCTAGTTTTAGAAATCATGAGCAAAGTAAAACTCAATGAATATGAGCAATACAGCAAGAATTTTCTACCCAAAGTACCTTTAGCTCTGTTAGCTGTGTTTGAACCAGTTGTAGATATTCTTCGTGGCGTTTCTTCTCCTTCTCACACAGTTTATCTAACTCAGGCTGTTGATGGGGGTGACCTAAAGATGGCCGCAACTCATTCTGATGATCCGTCTGCAAAGGACAAGGGAGGTAATTCATATCTGATTTGTCAAAACAAGGGAGATAAGGGTCTCCGAAAAACAGGATGCAGCTACACAGTTCATTTCATTTGAGGGTGTCAAATTCCCCAAAACAAAATTTCAGGACACAAATTTTCGAGAAATAAGGAGGCTGTTTAGACCATTGACTTCCCTCCATAGAAAAGAGAATACGACCTTGACCATTGCTTAAGTGATTGAGGAATCTTGAGAGACGTACCTGTTGTTTTTTAAGTTGTTGAAACAATTCAGAGAATTTATTTTCGATATTTTTACGTTCTGTTTCTAAGTTTTGTTTCTGCTGGGATTCTATTTCTCCTAAAACTAACCATGGTAACCTAGCAACTAATTCTTCAAATTCACGAAGTTGTTTTCGAAATTCTGAAAAAATACCAAAGAATTTTCGTAAAATTAATCTTAAAAGTGAAATGAAAAAACTGCAGTGAATTCAGCTAGAGACCCACACTGTAAATTTGCAGCATTGCTCAATCTCATATGAAGATCAACCGACATTTTTCAGCTCAGTTGGGCATGTAGCTCAGTTGATAGCGAGTTGCATTTTTGTCTGCTAGGTGATTAAGACCTGTAGGTTTGAATCCTTTTCAAAGTAAGAAAAATTCTAATGCCATGATGGTGCTTCCAAAAGTTGGCTTGCTGTAAGCTTTCATCACCTATCACTAAACTACATTTGCAGCTTTTTACTGACAAGAGAGGCAAAAGAAAAAATCATTATGATATGCAGTCATTGGTGGAGCTTAAGTCAGACAAGACTGGTAAATAAATACGATCAACATCCCTGTGTTCCTACCTTGTAAACATTCATTATGATATTCGAAGGCTTGTTTATAATAAGATTGTAATTTTAAAATGACTGTATCAGCACAGCTATCAAAATTATCTTGTAATGCCTGAGGTCTAGTTACAGCTCTGTTACCTTTAGTTTTATAATATAGCTAAAAATATACACACAATTCAATATCAGATAAGGCATTTAATAATAATATATAATATTATATGTCAAATTTCCCTCATTGCACACTGCTCTGCATGACTTAACCAATGCCAATCCCTACTTTTAGTTAAAAAATAAAACAACGAGTCGATTGATAATAAAGTAAACAATAAATCACATGATAACGTGCAAAATATGGCTACGTTTCGGGTCAAGTTAGTGTTGTTCTCTGTAGAGAAAACACCTTTCTACTGTTTTTTATCTACTGTTTGCACGTTATCATGTGATTTATTTTTTACTTTTATTTTAACAATACAGCTTCACCAAATAATATCCCAAAGAGTAAAACTGTTTCACAGCTTTATTTTATAATTCACAAACTCCTAGCCCCTTTTCTCTGTACCACTTTCCAATCTTTTCATCTGCTCTATAGAAATCAGTAGCCTCTCTAGGGTCTCGTGTAAAAAATTTCATGCTACCCCAACTCTAATTTGCCCCACCCTTTAACATACATCTGCAGTTTTATCACAATATATCTCACCCTTTTCCTTTTGCCCCTATGTAATATCCATCAAGCACCCTCCCCCCATTTCACTACACCCTCAAACTTACCTCAGCTGTGATCAGTAGCCCCTCTAGGGCCTCGCGTAACAATTTTTTCACAATGCCAGTAAAATATTCTGTCTCTCCTTCTTCTTCCTTCTCACCAAAAACATAAAATCTTCTTTCAAACCTCGTAGTTCTTTGATTACGTCTGAAAACAATTCATAAAAAAACTTTGGTTCACAAAATCAGTATTAGCTTGAAAAACGAAGTCTAAAAAAATCTGTAAAAAATGATCGAGCCATACATTTGTCATTATTTAAAAACTATCATTTAAATTGTAGTTTTGAGTGATTTTTCTTAAATTTATTTCATAAGAGAAAATCTGATTGTTTAAGTTACAAAAATTAAAATATCCGTAATTTTCTTAAGTATCGCAAAAGGTTTCAAAAGAATTTAAAAATGTAAAGAAAAAGAATAAAATGGTAGTGAAGATGGAATTGATAAAATGGATGTTTGATAAGATGTCTAGTCTGGTTTGTGAAGATGATGTGATGCTATGATTAATTTTTTTGGGGGGTGGGGGAAGTGATATTTTTACCTCAATCTAATTGTGTTCCATTTGGCCAAACACCACATTTCACGACCTTTTCTGTAGGAGTGCAGCAGAGAGAGAGCAGAAGACAGGAAAGAAAAGAAAGAAAAATGATTTGAGAAAAAGGATTCTTGCCAAATCTCTTGGCATCACATTACATCAAAAATTCTAACAGTAAAAATACCGAGGTTCCTTGTGGGTTGATTACTTATCAGGTTCTCCAAATATTTCTTAGCTTTTCCCTGAAATTATCAGTCGGCCTAGTATCTGTTTACAGCTGGGTTGATTGGAATATTTGAACTAGTTCTGATCATAATCCTACGACTTCTTTACAAATGACAATTGCTCGTGTACCTATTAATAAATTCTCAAATCTAAGTTCAGTATTCTAAAAATATTCCTGGGAAATTTTGAAAATTAAATATTCTATAAGCTTATTTCACAAGAGGAGAAATAAAATAGACATACAATGCTAGAGAATCTCGGTGAAAGGATGCTGCCATCTTGTCTGGAATTACTGATAGTACAGAATTCATCCTGAAAATAATACAGATAGAGAGAGAGATAGTAGAGAGACAGACAGAATAAAAGACACAACGAAAAAATGAATAAACAAAGGGAGACTAGAAGAAAAAAAGATATGGAAAGTAAATTTGTGGTCTATATTGTGGTCAAGCAGAAGTTAAGAGTCTACATTTCTTTTACAAAGTCTTCTTTGTAGTTTTAAAGTTTGTCTGTCAACTGATTTTGATTTTCCAAATCCTATATGGTGGTGTAGAAGGTGTGAAAGCAAATCTATTTAGTTTTTTTGAATTTGAACTAAATTGTTGTTGGGGTTTATAGGGTTTGGTTTTGAACAATTTAAACGTAAACAAAACATACATGCAAAATAATTTTATCTGAAACATTGAACACTTTTAACCTACCTCTACACAACTACTCAAAAATGTTACCATAGAAACTTAACACATAAACAAAATAGCAAATTTTGCTAACAAAATGAGGACAAGTTTTAACACAAATGCAAATAAGTCGAAAATTGGAACCAGAAAATTTAAATCTAAAAATATCTATGCAAAAAAATGGCTGAAAAAATTCAATTCTGAGCCCTGTTTCACAAAATTTTAACAAAGATAAAATTTAGATTTTAAGAAATACAGATATCTGATTGGATAATAAATCTACATTCAAACTTGATTTTAGCGTCTGACCAATCAGGTGACTAGAACAATAAAACCATCTTAAGTTAGGATTGCATGAAACAGGCCACAACAATTTCCGCGTAAAAATCTAAACATGCGAAAAAAAGAAAACGATCTTGACATACTGAAGCATTACAGGCAGTCTGAAAACTCTGAGAGAGTAGAAAATTATTATTCCCGAATTTTTATTACAATTCTAAAGGGAGACAACTACATTTTACATAGCCTAGAGCTCAATTGACTTCCTCGCTGACAGTAATGGAAATAACTATATAGAGGGCGCCACTATAATGCTGACCCATTGGATTGTCGTCTGCTAGGCTAAGCCATTCTTTCCTTAATAATGCAAAATGCAGCATATTTGAACACAAAAATGTCATTCAGAATTAATACCAACTTCTTCTTATACCTTGACTGCTATAGCCACCTTTCTTTCATCAAGAAAAGATGTCACAAAGAAAGGTGACTATTGCAGTCAAGGTATAAGGAGAAGTTAATTACAGCTTGACATTGTGAAGATTAAAAAATACTTACGTAGCAGAGTGGATACGTTTATTGTGACCTTGTTCAGAAATAGCGACTTGACTTCTACGACCACTGACTTTCCTGTCTATTGAAGATGTCGTGCTGCCTTTACCAGAACTAACAGACATTGCTGATTTCAGTTTTTCACGACTGTCTGGGGGGGCAATAACAGTCACATTAGAATGAGCTGAAATAAAATGAAATGGAATGAAGTTTTACATTCTACTCTTCTACACCTGTGTGGGCTAATGAGGATATGCAACACCCTGCAGTGTACAATGAGGGAAATAATGCCAGGATAGCAGCACTAGCCTACTCTTTTACTGATTTCCAACTGACCAGCAGCAAAAAGTTAAATGGTTTATATTTAAAAGTTGTCATTATTTCTTTGAACGACTGCACCCCTTCCAACGCTTGCCCTTCATGCTCCTCCCATCTATGCCCCTCTGTCCTCTCTGCCCCTCCCCCAAGGCTTACCTGCATGAGGCATTATCTCGGCACTATAATCAGCTATTGGATCAACTTTATCTTTCTGAGGCCTGGAAAAATTTCAAAGCGTTACAAATCAAAGCAATATCCAAAACTATTTTGAATGTAAACTGAACAAACAGTGACAGAAATGAGAAGAATTCAAAAAGTGTTCCCTGGGTAATGATCAGATAAACCTATAAATTTTATTCTATCTAAATCATAGTGACTTCTTAGTCAAGTTTTACTAGAATTTTTCAAACTGACAGGAACATTTTAGATAGTCCACATGACAGACTTACTTGAGAATACTTTTAATAACGTTTAAAGATGGATCTTCTGTTGGAGGTCGTCCTGGTTTACTGATTGGGGTGATATCAGATATAAACCCTACACGTGCAGCTGAAATATATAATAATATTACACAAATAAATACACAGGATGGACCTTTTAAAACCTAAAGCATTGTAGAGATATTTCATCCAGTTAATGTGGACTAAATTTTGGAAATTTGCCTTCTCCTTTCTACTTCAGATTGGGGCAAGTTTTTATGGTCAAGGCAATTCCATGTCCACTGAGCAACAGCCTGTCACACACAGAGGACCTATGGGTATTGTCCCATCTGATGAACTAGATGCAGTGTGCAATGATAGAAATTTTGCCAAGATAGCAGCATTAGACTGATATTTTTTGATTTCCAACTGTCAAGGGATCTGTAACATGCACAATTGCACAGTCTCTAGCACATACGATCTCCAAAGGCAACAACATGCAGTGTGCAATGAGGGAAACTTTGACTAATTTTCAATAAATTAAAGATGCACTCACCAGTAGCAGGATTTCCCTGTAATATGGAACCTGAAGATGGTCGTGGGGGAGCATCTTTAATACAATGTAGAAACTCAGCACGTTTAGCAATATTCATATAGATGACTGGTAAACTCTCATAGATTTCTTCTGGTCTGATTTGCTGAAAATTTTTAAAATAAGTTTGAATACACCAAAACAAAAAATGTAGGAGAGGTTAACTACCTAACTTCCAAAAATCATGAGGTTTATTTCAGCGCTTATAACTTTATGAAGTTATTTACTATATGAAGTAATAGTGGTTGTGATTTCTGATTGGCTTGTGAGGGTCTAATGATCTGAGATAATTTCCTTGCTACTTTGGTTGACTCAGCTGTAAATGGGTACAGATAATCCGGGAAAGATCAATGCCAAGAGGTTTGACCAAGGGCCATTTAGTAGAAAGGATCCTTGTGAACCCAAGTTTTTATCATTGTAAAATCATTGCTAAGAGGTTTGGCTAAGTACTGGCTGCTAGACAGGATCTTCAAGAACCTAAGGTATTTTCCAAGTAAAGACATTTTTCCCTGTATTTCCTTACCTCTTTATCAGGATTAGGGTTTTCACAAGCGTCAATTCTACGATCAAGTTGTTGAATATGGCGTGTAATAGTTTGAGCCTGGGTGTTGCTATCGGCAACTTCTGTTTTTATTTTAACCTGGGTGTTCGTCAACCATCTTGCGATCTTTTCCATAAATACCAGATCAAACATATGACTCTTAAACCTAAAAAACATCAAATAATTTTTAAAAGCCATGGTCCACCATTTTCAGGCGTTGATTTGGGTCTTTAATATATGTAAATAATATTCAGAAGCACTAGAAATGTACCAAATTGCCATAATTCCTTCAAATATACTAGAATTTTTTTCTAAATATCTTGTCTATAGATGGCAGAGTCTTTAGAGAAGATGAGTTGTCTTTCCAACTTTCAAACGCGGATAATTCTGGACACACATGGATTTGAAGGCTCAAATTTTGATGGTGAGCTGTGAACACCATAACTGATTAGCTTAGCTTTGGTTTTGCTGGTGCAGTTTTATGGATCAGAGGTGTAAACAAGATCCTACCTGTCTTCGAACTCAATAGCAACTTTACTGCCCTGTTCTAGACGTTTGGACTCCATGCCTTCAAGGTCGGACATGATAGAACCTTCAACCTGGTCTATCTTCTGAGACATCTTCTCTAATGACTTACGATACTCTTCAATCTCCTGGGGACAAAAATTACCTCCGTCTGAAAACAACCTGAAAAAAAAACGAAGTTTTAAACATTTTACAGGCTCTAGTCTTCTCTTCTCTAGTCTCTGGGCTACAATAAAAAATCGCGTTTTCAGTGCTCTACAGAATACACCTTTCGTTCGAGTCACAAAATCCCAGCGTTGGAGAAGCAAGAAATTTGATTGGCTGGAGATATGTTTATTAGAGCAGTCTTTAGTCTTCAAACTTACTTGAAAGATTTGATGAATCTAGCGTTTGATTCACGTAACATCTGTAGGTTTTTATCAAGATGTTGACGAAACTGTCTTAATGATGTTCTTATTACAGACATAAACTTCTCTAATTCTACTCCCAGTTGATTCTGTAACGCCATTAATCTGAAAACGAAAAAACTCCTACTCTTCTGCACCTTATTGAGCTAATGAATACAGGCACAGTCTTACAATGAGAGAAATTTTGCCAGGACAGCAGCATTAGTCTGTTCTAATTCGATTTCCAACTGTCGAGGATCTTTAACGTGCACAACCTGTAGCACACAGGGTCTTGGTTTATTGTCCATCTAGGGGGCTTTTTTCAATGCCAGCTCCTGCATCACCGACAGAAGGAAACCGGGTTGAAAAATCCAAAGGTATTATCTCGTTCAATGCGAGGATTCAACCGTGGACCTACAGGTTAGCAAGCAAGCGTCTATCTCACTTACAAAATGAATCATAAGACAGTTTATAAAACAGGACCTAGGACAGTTACCTTGACGATTTGGTAGCGTTGATAAAAACTATCTCTAAAGCTTCGATATCCTCACGGAATTTATGAGCTAGTTTATTGTGTTCCTGACTAACACCGTTAAAACGTGTTCGTAGATCAGACAGAGACTGTTGTATACCTTTACTATGTCGAGACACTCGTTCAGAATGCATGACCAATTCAGCTAAAATAAACAGAGGATTTTATTAACACTGAAGTCTATAAAATGTCAACTCTTGCAAGCTGTGGTCGTTACCCTGTGGAGGATTCGAACCCATGCCACCTAATCATCTTATTGTCTTATCCAAAAAACTGGACCATTTTCTTTTTTATCTGCTTTATTTTTGCGAGCAAAAGTGTACAGCACCATTTAAACTAGACACCCTTTGACTTTTAATTGAACTCTTCCACACATGCATATTGTGTATCATACACACAGTTAGGAGCAGTTCATTTAAAAAAAATAGGGGTGTGTTTGTCTGAATATCTGTTTGAAAACGAGTATACATGTAAAAATAGAAGGTAAAGACTTGAACATACCAGCCCTGACATTATGAATATCGAGTTCAGCTCGTCTCGGTCGTGGTTGATGAAGATGCAGACGTAAATCTAGTTCACTGTTTAACTCTTCGCACTGAAAATAGACGCCATTTTTGTTTTGAATTGTTTTCGTATGTGGAAGAAATTTCTTCCGCTTTCTAAATTAATCATTAACATAAATAACATCAGATTTTGATAAAGAAATAAGATTTTGACACAAAGAATATAAACTATATAGTTACCTTGGCAACGACCACACTACTAGATTTATCTACAGCTTGCTCTAACCATGTTTCTAGATGGTTTAAAAAGTTTACTCGAATTCTGAAACACAAGGGTTAAATCATAAATTCTGTTTTTCAAAAATTCTATGTGTGTCTGTCTCTTGAGAGTTTGTAATAGCTTGACTTTATTAATATTTCATCACCAATTTTTTCTATTGGAGAGTTATTGGCGTATTCCCCTTTACCTAATTCATTGCTATAAAACATGGAAAATGACCAAAAATAATTTCAACTCACTGTCTTTTGATGTCGTTTATCAAAGATTTGGGTATATCCACACTTTCTATATAGGGTTTACGTTTAATACTGGGAGATTTGGGTACATCTTGGTTAACAGGATCTGGTTGCACCCCCTGTTTTCCTGGCACAGATAAAACATAGAATGTCGTTCCTTTCTCCGTCATTAAAACTTCTGATACTGTTGTTGATCGAGGACTTTCGTCTTGTTGCTGGAAATAGAAAAGAATTTAGCGGACCAGCATAGACTGAGGAAGGTCAATGCCATGTGGTGTGCAATGAGGGAAATTTTGCCATAACAGCCTTATAAGCCTACTATTTTTCGATTTCCAACTGTTGAGGGATCTTTACCGTGCACAGCCTATAGCACACAGGGCCTCAGTTTATTGTCCAATAGGTGCTTTTTACATTTCTGCCCCTTAATGTTAGCTATTGACTATAGCTCATACTGCCTACATGTTTCAGATACACAATCCTCATCAGGACAGCTAATTATAGACTCCAAGACGCGCAAAGCAACCAAACTGAATTTGTCAAAAATAAAAATCGAATTCAATAAGCAAAATGAATTAGTAGCGATTAAAAGTTCATAAAAAATCTATAATCGTTTAAAAATCTATTTCAATATTGAGAAAATGTCTATATATTGGACTAGAATGAAGAACTATCTAACATGGAATTTCCATTTTCATTCTACCTGGTATAATATTTACAAACCTGATTGATTTTCTAGTTTTTACGTTAAACAATGCATCAACTCGTCTTCAAAACAAATATAACACTGACAACAACATGTACATATACCTCCTTTCTTTCATTACAAATTCAAATCAATTTTTTTTAATTTCAATGAGACAAGATGGGATGCTGTCACTTTGTATTTTATTTCAGCCCTAGATTTTCTCTACACCCTCTAGACTGGCTTTTAAAAATATATATATATAAATATATATGCTATGTTTACTCACATCCTACCCCCTTTTACATCTTCTAAGTTGGTTTAAATGCCACCTTATATTACAATTATATTACGAGTATCTATAGGAAGGTATCTTCTGCACACAAAACCCCTTTACTCCACCTGTAAACCCTTTACCCCTTCTAGTTGGCTTCTTTCATTGCCCACTCATTAGACTATTCAACTCCCCACTAGAGATTTTTAATATTGACTGACTATTGGTTGAATATCAGAAACTCACCACTATAGATTTCTAGTATTGACTGACTATAGGTTGTGTATCAGAAACACACCGCTATAGATTTCTAGTATTGACTGACTATTGGTTGAGTATCAGAAACACACCGCTACAGATTTCTAGTATTGACTGACTATAGGTTGTGTATCAGAAACACACCACTATAGATTTCTAGTATTGACTGACTATAGGTTGAGTTTCATAAACTCACCACTACAGATTTCTAGTATTGACTGACTATAGGTTGTGTATCAGAAACACACCACTACAGATTTCTAGTATTGACTGACTATAGGTTGAGTTTCAGAAACTCACCACTACAGATTTCTAGTATTGACTGACTATAGGTTGTGTATCAGAAACTCACCACTATAGATTTTTAATATTGATAAAGTAAAAGTAGAGGAGAATAAATATGAAGTATAAACAATAGAGTAAAGATTAATCAATGGACTAGCAGGAACTCTAATATTGATAATCACTCAATTACAGAATTACTCAGAACTTCCAGCATTTATTCCATTGGTAAAATCAGGAATCAGGCAGTTCCAGCTCATGGAATTCTAAAAGCAATGGAACCACAATTGTGAACTATCAGGACTGCTTGGCATCAAGCCCATGGAACCCAGAACGGTATGGCATCTACTTTTAGAATTTCAAGATTTTTTTGGCAAAACAGTTTTCAGCATTGGTTCTATTTAGAATGCCAGGACAGCTTGGCATCAGGATCATGGATTTTGGATCAAATCTTAGAATTTCTTGATTATTTGGCACGAGTATTGGGATGACTTGGCATCAAAGTTTTGCTTCTGATTGCAAAGTCATGTATATGAATTCCATTTAATAAATTGTATTTCGCCTCAACAATTCTATGGAATGCTGGAAGTATAGAAGAGATATGGTTTTTATTTATTAATTTCTTTACAGTTCTACAGTGAGAATATGTTATAATAAATATTGTAATTGATATAGTGATAATAGTGTTTTACTTTTGTCACATGACTTCCATACAATTAGAATAGTTTATTTAATCAAAGAAATATTCCGCTTTGATCTTGAATTGATTTTGAGTAATTGAAATAAGGAAACAGAATGGAATTCATTTGGATTAGTGTCAGACATGACTGGTAAGTAAAACAGAACAACAACCCTAGACATGACAAAACTAGATCATTTCTGTTGTTATTTTTGTCTCATGACTGGTAAATACAGTCAAATCAACAGTCTGGAACTACCTGAAATTCAGAATGGTGTAAATTGATGCTATCAGTGTCCCTGATACACATAAAAAATTGAGAAAACCTCTTTTAAGATGTCTTTATCTTCAAATCTGTATTTATTTTTGAAGAGAAAGCAACCAACCTAAGTTGAAGAGTAAATTCGTATAATCCTAAGATTGTAAAAATGAATTGATTTGTGCCTCAGGTATTTGTACAGACAATATCAACGTTTATTCTATAAAATGCCATGGACAACGGCCATTTTTTAGCCCCGTTATTGTTACTGCAATATTGATTGTCTAGGTTGAAAATTCACAATCAAATATTGTGATTTTATATTTTTGTCTGTCATAAATTGGAAAAGTAAATTTGAAAATTGACAAGCCAAGAAAGACAAAGATAAAATTATTTGGTGTTAGGGTGTATTGAGACAAGTCTCAATGAAAGCACTGGCCTAGGTCATGTGAACTCACTAAAAAGAATATTGAGTTGACAAATTTATAATGTTACTATGGTAAAGGCCTTTAGATATTATTAGAACTTTAGTGATTAGTGAAATCATCAAACACTTAGTTTTAGTGGAATTACAAAAACTACAGACATCTGACTGAAAATTGGAATGGTGTAAATTGATGATATCAGTGTCTCTGATTCACATAGAAAGTTAACAAACCTCTTTACAACCCCTTTATCGTTACTTACAAATGGTTTCACTCAAAAAACAAGCCCCAGGGGTGAGATTTTACTACACCTGGGTCAGTATAAGGGTGATCTACCTGGTTTGACCCCCTATGCTAGACTGCCCTAAACTAATTCTATCTAACTCTTGACAAAGATTTGATACAAAGGAAGACTAATTGAGAATTAATTAGGTCATACAACTGACCATCTTTAAACTAAAGGGTACCTCACACTATAGTGATTACCAATTGTGTATGGCTGTTAATAAAAATAGCGTTATAAGTCTCGAACGCAACTTTCATGTAACTGAATTATGAGTTGTGTATTGCTAATGACTACTTTCATTATTCACAACCATACACAACTGGTAATCACTATAGTGTGAAGGAAACTTTATAAACAAGCCATATTATCTTGGTTTGTGTAGAACACTGAGCAGAAAGTCCTTTCTCTATTCACTATTATCTGACACTGTCATTTATTTCAATCTAAAATGACCCAGTATGGCTATTAGACTTTAATATTGAATGATTTATTCAGCTTTTTGATTTGACTTCTGGATTTTATTTCGGATAGTTATATATCAGCTTTCTCCTTGTGATTAGAACTTTGACTTATGAACTGCACTTTGGATAAGTGCATATCAGTTTTTTCCTTGCGACTTTTGACTTATAGATTAGAAAAATAAGTATCTCAGTTTTCATCTTGTGATTTGGTACATGTTAGTTATCTCATTCTAATTTAGACTTTCATTAATGGATACTTATATACCTAACTAAATATACATACTTTTTATATTTGTGACATAATTCGACATTCATAAAGCAAGAAGAGTAGGTGTGAATAAGACCCAGAGAAAGACAGTGATATATTGTATAGATATAGTTAATAGGGGCCCAGATTATAATCTATGTGAAAAATTACAATGGGGCAGGTACATAAATAATACAGTTAAAGGGACAGATTCACCATATTTTAGACCAATCATACTTGAGTATTAGAAACGGGAATTTTAGCTGAGCTAATCAGTAATCGTGTTCACAGCTCACTGTTGAAATTTGACCCTTTAAATCTATGTGTGTTCAGAATTATCTGCGTTTGAAAAATAAAATGATGAGTTGTTTTTTCTTGAAAATTTCTCACTTTGAGATATTGTTAAAGGAATTATATGATTTTCGTTTATTTCTAGTACTTCTGAAGGCTATTTACTAATATTCAACACTCAAATCAACTTCCTGAATATGGCGAAATTGTCCCTTTAAAGGTAAGAGTAAAGATAGCTAGGTATGATGTAAGACATATTTGTTCACACTTCACTCAGTTCACATCAATTCGTATTTACTCATGTGAACAGGGCTTTAGATAAAAGATTGGACAGTTGGATAAGACTTTAAAATTTTAGAAATTCAGTTTCGATTTTGATTTGGAATCCCAGTTTAAACCGTAAGTAAATTTATTTTATTTGCTTGATTAATTTGACCATTTGCCTTCGCAAAATCACTAAAACTAAGCATTTATGATGTCACTAACTCAAAGGTCTTTAGATATTAGCAGCTTTTGCTATAGTGATGTCATAAAACACTTACGTTAATGGAATTGCAAGAACCACAGACATCTGATTGAAAATTAGAATGATGTAAATTGATGCTATCCGTGTCCCTGATATACATTAAAAATGAAGAAAACTTCTTCATAATCTCTTTAATTTTGTCCTAATTTTGAAACGTATTCATGTTCTTACAATATTGTATTAAAATATATTACATGTTAAAAATGTTTTTTCCAGAAATTGTTTTAAAATGAAAAAATAAAAATATGTGAAAAGAATTAGCCTAGAGACAAAATGCAAATGTTGCAATGATTTATAAAATCTATGGTGCCCATAATAATATAATATTGAAACTAAAAGTTTAAAACTTCTGTAAAGAATACAGATAAAATATATATGTCAGTGTGATTTCGAAATCGGTTATAGAAGTAACATATATTAAGGTGTGGTAGGCCAGTCTATTGTTACCCCCTATCTTACTGTCTTTATAAAATACTTCAAGCAGAACTATACAGTATAGAAATATAGAACTACCCGACACACTGTACTCTACAGTCACTCCAAACAGGTTTTAAACAACCCAATCTTAAAATAGACCCCCTATATTCAACTCCATATTATTCATGTTAAACACCAGCACAGGATAGTTGGTTGGTTTGGGATATTTTGTCTAGCAAGGAAGTAAGTTATTAATTTTTGGTTTTAATTTTGATTTAAGGGGCAGGAAGGAGGGGGTGGGGGAATTATGGTAGGGGGAATATTGTTTTATGACAGGATAGTTGGTTGGTTTGGGATATTTTGTCAAACAAGATAGTAAGTTATTTTAATTTTGATAATTAGAGGGCATGATGTGTGAGTGTGTGAGTGTGTGTGTTGGGGGTCGGTTGGCTGGTTTGGATATTTTCTTATGAGCGATGTTAGGGGGTGAAATATATCTCGTTATAAACAAGTAAATTAGTCTAATTTTTGTGATTTGGTTTGATAAAAGATTATGGTAGAAGGGTAAGGAGAGGGGGTGTGGCAGAGGGACTGGTGGTCCAACACTTACTTTAGTTGACTCTGAACTGATGAAATTTGAATTTTAATACATAGATTATTATAGTCTAAATAAATACAATACAGTTAGGCTAGCTAGGTGTAGTTGGGTGTAGAGTTTTTAGTTTGTTTTATTAGTAGTATATTTAACAATGTAAGATTATAAAACAGTATCGTATTTCATCTTAATATCAATAATAATAATATTATAATACATATTCTAAACTATACAAATAATTAGTAAGGTGTATGTAGGGGGGTGGGGGGTGTCTAAAATACCTGACAGAATACACCTTGAGAAATTCATGTATTCTAAATGAAAAATACTGTCCAGTGTTAAAAGTTTAAGTTAATGCCCTATATGAAACATTCTCTATACTTCATCCAGATAATTCTAACAACTTCACTACAAGCTAACTATTTTACTTCTAAAGCCCAGGCCCCGTACTCTCAAAACGATCTTAGCGCTAGGATATCCTAGAATCAATGTTAGAAGATAAGAACCTAGAATATCCTAGAATCAATGTTAGAACATAAGAACCTAGGATATCCTAGAATCAATGTTAGAAGATAAGAACCTAGGATATCCTAGAATCAATGTTAGAACATAAGAACCTAGGATATCCTAGAATCAATGTTAGAAGATAAGAACCTAGGATATCCTAGAATCAATGTTAGATAATAAGAACCTAGGATATCCTAGAATCAATGTTAGAACATAAGAACCTAGGATATCCTAGCGCTAAGATCGTTTCGAGAATATGTGGCCTGTTTCACCGTAAATATTTTAAATTGCGTATCCTAGATAAAAATGTACCCAACCAATCGGAAGTAAAGTAATAAGTTAATACTTTATAAAAATATAGTGTAAATTACTCAACTGAATAATCATTCTGTAAATACTGTATCAATATTTATATTAAGGGGTCACTGAGTTTGAAAATTATAAAATTAGATTTGTGTTTGATTTTAAAAAATAGCTTACGTCATAGTTTCTATTTTCATTATCACAAAAAATAACATTAAACTCTTTATTTGCTATAACTAGCTCATATTAAATAGAAAATATCATATTTAATAGATGTTTATATCTTAGAGGGTTTACATAGTTAAATACATCAATAACTTTTTCATTAAACGTCAAGATTGTCAAGCAAGATATTCTGTTCTATGGACAGAAATGCCTGTCACTGTCCTGAAAAAATTTCCCCCAATGGCACGCAACGTGGTGTTGCCTTCCCTCGATTGCCCAAACAAGTGCAGAAAAGTACGATGCAAAACTCTATTTCATTACATTTCTGTAAATCTGCTGTTCTGATAAATACATTGTTAAGCCCCACCCCTACCGCCCATCTCTACCACCCCCCCCCCTTCCCCCTTAAACCTACCTCACACTTGCTGATGTAATAACAGTAAGATAAAGTAAGAGCCTAGAGTAAATCTAGTCCTATCTCTCTGATGTTAAACCTGTCATGGTTATCTTTACCCTATCAGTATCTCATATAACTACATGTTATATCTTTACCCCCAGGGGCTGTCTGCCCAGGGGTACCATGTTTACCACTTAATAGAGATTAATTTCAGCTAATTGTATCATTGTTCAGAATCAAAATCAGACATCAGGTTCTATTGCAATTCATAAAAAACAATGATTCTATGCCATGTTAGTGTTGGCGCATAGCACAACGTTTCAACAGATTACACAATACATTGTCATTAATGTCAATTGGCAAACAGACAACTGGTTCCTTGGCCAGTGCTTTTGAGAGGCAGTCCAATGTAAATCTTCATTAAAGGTGTTTAGGGGTGACAATATTGACAACAAGTAAAATCAATGTCATACAACGTTTCAACAAATTACACTTCATATAGTCAATAGTGGTAATTAACTACAATAGTTCATTAACAGCTTAATCTCCTAATCCTTAATCCCTTTGTCTGGATTAACGAGGTTTCCTAATATTTACCATTCGTTTACAATTGTTTACAATTGTTGACAATAGTACAGTAAGTTAATTTGGTTTCCTAAGGAGAAGTTTTGAATTAGTTGTTAGGGGGCTTGGTAGATAACCATATTGTAGGACCCCAAAATAGGACCATGGCCAAGAAAGGTTGGGCCTGAAATACTGTTGATATTAGGGCATTGGTAAAATGTCTTTTGGTTACCTTTTAGGTTGTTTAATTTCTCTTACTAAGGTATGTTTTAAGTTAAAAACTTATTTTATAAATGCTATTATAAAGAAACCAAAAGTAGTCTTGAATTATTTTTAGATTCCAACTTTCAAGAATACAACTTTTCTTGACTGAAAAAAACACAAGATATTCAAGTAGTTTGGTTGTTAATTTACAATGGTATTTTGGACATAAAAGTTAAAACATATACAAGTTCTTTCCTATTCAAATTTTAATTTTTTAGAGTGCAACATTGTCATTGTCGTTATTTTTAGGGTAGTCTAGGTCAAGAGGTTTTGACAAATTTCAAATCTTCAAAGAACAAATTTGGCAAGTGTAAAATAACGAAGCTAAAATATGTCTTTGAAGACGTAAAAATTATTGGCAGATTTTTGTTTTACATGTTTTTAGATCAAATGATGACAACCACGGTGCAAATAAAAGTTTTTAAATATTTTTTTGTCGTATTTCAACTGTTGTGAAAATGTATCTTTCAAAGTTTTTTCAACTCATCACAGACAACATCTCTCTAAATTCAAAGTCTCCTTTTCATAAAGTTTAAAACTCTTCAAAATTTCTTCAGTATGTTAGCTATTAAGGGTACAACTTTTCTGGATCTCATGTGACTAACAAAGATGGACAACGCCCTACAGTGTGGAATAAGGGGAAGGGCCCCCGGTTTTTTTTATCATAGGATCTTGGTTTGTGGTCGCATTCGAATGGCGATACGTTTTTTTCCTGACTATTCATTTGTATCAAGGCAGTAGTTTTTTATTTCAGAACTGAACTCTTCTTCTATTAAAGTTTCAAATATAATTTCTCAAAATTTGCTTTTTGTCCTTTTCAGATAATGATAGAATGATGTGAAAAAAGCAGACGCGAAATTCATTCCCACCAGTATTCAACCAGAAATCCAAGATGTCTGCCATACATCGATTACTAATTACACTCGAACACGACATCGACGAACAATATCAGTATCAACCAGGGGAGATAATCAGAGGACATATTATCGCTACATTATCCAGGAACGAACAAATTCGTAATATTACTATCAGTATATTTGGTGAGGGTAATGTAGGTTGGGAAGATGAAAAAACAGGAGAAAACAACCAAGCGAGTGAAACGTATATCGATTCAAAAACTGTCATAATGGAATCTCAAATGGGAAAACCCCTAGTTCTAAAGCAAGGTCATCGAGAATTCCCATTCGAGTACGAACTTCCTGAAAACTTGCCGTCATCGTTTATCGGAAAACACGGAAGTGTGACGTACATTTTAAAAGGAATGGTGATAGATTATAAGAACAATGTGGCGGCCATTACCAGTGAACCGTTTTTAGTCTTACGGAAAAAGCCGTTACCTGAATCCATCGAGAGTCCAATGTTACTCGGAGGCTCGAAAAGGGTCTGGGGTGGATGCAGTCTGGGTAAAATTACCGTCAGTGCAGCCGTGAACAAACATGGTGGAATCCCTGGCGAAGATATCTTGATCAATATGGATGTTAAAAATCGTAGTGGATGTATGGTGAAAGCGATACAAGCCTCAGTTAACATGCATAGTATTTATCACGCTGGCAAAAAAACAACAAGCTTCAGTCAGTGTGTGAATCGAAAACGAGATGAACCTCATATGGAAAAAAACGAGGGGCGACGCTGGATGAATTCACGTTTAACTGTACCACCCTATATCCCAGAAACCAAACTAGAACATTGTGACATCATAGAGATTCATTATACGTTTCAAATCCGACTAGAAATTGAAGGAAACCATGAAATTTGTTTGGAAAGTCCGTTACTTATCGGTGCTCATCCTGCAGGCCTGGAACTTCCCAATAAAAATTATTCAAGGAACAGTATTAACAGTGAATGGACTGTCCGTGCACGTGGACTCGTCATGGAACAACAAGTGATGCTTTCCCTGAAAGAGGAAGACGAAATGAAAGAATGGTATGGTGGAGTGATTCCTGAACTACGTAGTGATGCGGCTATAAGTAATCCTTTATTCCGTCAAGGTTCGTTTCTCAATAAACAAGGACGATATCCAGAAGTGTTGGAATATAAACGTAAACAAAATGGACACTTGGAAGAACTCCCAGAAATTATGGAGAGCACTAAACTGTAGGATCAGAAATGTGGAAATTCAGTTTCTGCTGAAATTGAAGTTTAAACCTTTAAACTCTTAATGTTACTGAAATAAAACATCATATTCTCTGAATTTCAAGTAATATAACTTAAAGCATATGGCTTTAACATTTAGTGACATCATTAAGTGGCAGAATATCTCATGTGTTTTGTGGTTGGTAATGAGCCAGTAGTGTTAAAAGGGTTAAAACAATGAAAGATTTCACAATATGAAAATAAAGGTGTATTAACTGTTATTTAATGTATTAAATCAACAATACAAGATTTGAAAGTAGTGAAAAACATGTTAATATTTTAGATATGGTTTAAACTATCCAAGAAAAGCACCAAGGAATTAAAATTTCTTTATTGCATTATATTACGCTTTTAGGATTTTTAAATTTTAACTGCCAAGTGTTGTATTTTGGATTTGTAATTATGAAATGGGCTACACTTGTCAAGGGGTTTCGCTTCCCTAATTTCAAATGGGATTGTAGGTTTTAATGCACAAATCAAAAATGAAATGTATCAAGGCTGAAAAATGTTTTGTTTTAATACTGTAAGCTGATGTAAAAAAACGCACTTATGAGAAACAAAAAAGCTTTGTCAAGAAACGGGGCTGATCTCTGGACAGCTAGAAATCCAGATGAAATCCAATTGAAAAGGGGAACAACTTTATTGGTCAAGCGTATTAATGTAAATAATGACTAGATGATAAAAGTGGTTTATTACTGTATATTTCTATATATTATTCTATTTATAAAATCTATTTAATATCTTATATCTTATATTAAACTTTTATCTATTTATATTCATTGGTGTTTTATCTTTTAACACTACAACAGATCGGGTGGGGGTGGGGAGGGGGGGGGGGGGAAATATAATAATAAAAAAATATCAAAAAATTCTAGACCCATAAAACCAACAGACCCCAAAAATGTTGATAGAAAAATACTGGCCCTTAGACTGTACCTTAAACACTAGTTCTAAAAATACACTGGCTGACAAAATTTGCCCCAAAAAGGTACTGGTTCTGAAAAAACCAATTCGATCCACAATTTCACAGACCCAAAAATACTGGGCCCTGTTCCACGATAAATCTTTTGATCTATTTAATCATAAGTATGGTATCTCTGTAAAATTCTACTCCACTAATTCTAATCCAAAGATTTTTTGTGGAACGAGGCCCTGGCCCCTTGAATAGACCCAAAAATACATTTGCATCCAAAAATAAAACCAGTCCCTTTATAAAAGGATCTTGTTATTATAGATGATAGGCTTAAGATGAGTTTGTTTACTTATAAATTTTAAATCAACAAAACCTATTGATGTTATTCTGTTGACTGATTATTATATCATTATACCAGGGTGTTAACAGAGTTTGAATAAACCTACAGGCTTAATATACCCATTTAATAAATTATAGGTGTGTACTGCAGACATCAGATTTTTATCATAGATAAAAAATAAAATTGCGACACTTTTATTTTTACATGTAGTCTACTTTAATGGACAGTTGACGTAAATTTTGTTTTGTTTTCATCATTTTTAAATTTGACACATCAAAATAATAACTATCTTTTCTCAAAATAACCCATGAATAAACTTTCCTAATTATTACAATTGAACTAGTTGTCAAGGTAACAGATAATTCTGGGCAGGATTCTATCCAAGTTTGATCAAGGACCAGCTGGTAGAAAGGATCCTCAAGAATCTAAGCTGTTATCCTTGTAAAATTACTACCAAGAGGTTTGACCAAGAACCTGCTTGTAGATAGGATCCTCATAAAATTATTACAAGAGATTTAATTGTCTACATCTTTAACAAAATTTCTTCACATAAAAAAATGTTTGAAAAGAAAATAAAATTGGTGTAAGTAAGAGACCACACCCTAAATCTCTCTCTATATAATCTCTTATATTAATAACAATAATAGGGACTAGTTATTATAGACTACACCCGAAATAGTTCAACAGGATTCTCTATAAATAAGGCATGTGATTAAATACATACACTGGTATAAATCATATTATTCGATATAGTTCTCCATCACATATTATACTGTTTATATATTTGTTATCAGGCTATAGAGAACTATGATACCTGTATATTGTTTTATATATTAAGTAATATAAATCTATATTCATTATATCTTTCACCTTATTATACTGTTTATATATTTGTATAACTCTTTCACACCCTAACCCTAATCCTCAAGGTAAAGAAATTCTGATGCCTGTGCCAGTGCTTCCTAGAGTCTGCCCGGGTGTGGTTTCGAGAGTTGGCCTAGTGAGCTCTCACCACCCTAATTAGGTAGGTAGATGACAAGTTAACGTTCGCTTCCAGCGGATGCTGATATCGCAAACTAAGTATTCCTATCCTTATGTTTATATCTCTCGACACCCCTCTAAACCTGACTCTTTTCATTATATTTTAGAGGGTTTACATGGGTATCTGTAATTAAAATGTCTAACATTTCCAAAACCTCTAACCTCACCCCTTTCATTATATTTTGTAGGGTTTACATACCTAAATATATTAATTTACTAGCTATCCTGATAAAGGTTGTGTATATAAAACAAGCTGTCCTGATGAAGATTGTGTATCTGAAACATGCATTTGTAGCATCATTTATTATATTTGGGCTAAATTTAAAATAAAACTTACCATCTCTGACATATCTTTAACTCTTGATGCCCGACGTTTCTTCTTCCGTTCTTTTTTCTTCTCCTCTTGACTTGAAACAGAGGCTTGAGAATTACGACCTTCGCTGTCCACACTTTCCGGCCTATCCTGAAAGAAACAAAGCATACATTCTTGAAGTTTTAATGGACTGAACCCTGTGAACAGCAGATGAAAATGTAGCTTCCTATCAACTGATCCAGCATTCTGCAAGTTTTGAATTTTGCTGTTTTGTCAAACCTCTTGGCATTGATCGTTCCCAGATTATCACTCCCCTTTTACAGCTGGGTGGATTGAAAATGAAATGCAACTAAATCCCCCACAAAAATTTGCAAATACGTACATCAGGATGAATTCTGTCCACCAAAAAGAATTTGCAGACGGAATCGTCATAGTTACTGAGTTCAGAGGTCACCATTTCAGGGTAAGTTTTAACAATGTCTGTCTGCTTTTGGTGGAATACTTCATACCTGAAATACATTTTTAAGAGCTTTAAAAACAAAAAAATAAGTGGATATAAATAAAGAAGGCCTCTGATTGGCTGTATTTGCTAACACACAATCCAATCAAATACTACAGTGATACAAGAAAGATGGCTATTGTAGGCAAGTATTAAAATTGATATAGTCTGTGAAAACTTACGATAATCGTATCCTTTCCAACATTTCCAGTGATTTTACTAAACTGGTAGCAAGATTCTGTTCATTACCATCTTGTCTCATCTTATCCATAATATTATCTAGCATAGCTTCTGTTTCCTGGAGAGATAGATACACAAGGGAATGAATGGATAAATGAATGAATGAATGAATGAATGAATGAATGAATGAATGAATGAATGGATGGGTATTTTTCCTTTTCTCCACAATATATATGAAGACTTCAAATTCAATTTCACTTCCAGTCCTTTTGATTCTCTAGCTGGACATGACTGGCAAATACAACCAAATCAACATCCCTTGTCAAGAATGTATGTGTATGTGTAACTAACAACTAATCCAACCCACATTGTAATTGGACCCAAAAGTTTGATTTGGTTATTCTGTTTGTTGACAGAACGCCCGCGAGTAATTGGGCTCCTATTTGAAATGTTGAAATGTTTTTGGTATTACAAACAGACCACTAACGAGTTTATAGTTGACCATCACATAATTAACGAGTTGATATTGTTGACATTTTGTTGGTTATTGTTTACTAAAACATGGTTAGGCGCCAAAATGTTTTTAGTGTGACAAACAAAAAATAGATTACAAAATTTGGGAAGCATAAAATTTTTTGTTTTGAAACGAAGTTATCTAAAGAAATAATCAAGCCAACCTAGTAGTTCTAAGGTGTAGTCAGCCAAGCTAGAGGATGCAAAGGGTTTTTAAGTTTCAGTTTACACAAATAAAATAACTAAATTAATTTCAGAATCAAAGTTGGTTACTTAACATAAAATCAAACCAACTTAGAAGACGTAAGAAGAGGTATCGTATCTTTCCGAGATATTTCAAACGTAGCATAGCATAGTATGTTTCAAAAGGTAACAAGCTTATTTACAGGGAGGTAAGAGTTCTAAAGATCCCAAGATAAAGGGTGCCTTTCCCTTCATATATTCTAGAAATTCATGCCAAAAAGAGCTGTGTTTATTGGTTTTGTGTTTTATTTTTTACTCAATTCATTATTTTTCTAAGCAACATTGAGCCAATATTTGTCTTTAATCTTGAGTTTTTCACCTTATTGTACAAACTACAAACTTACATCTACTTGTAAGGTATTTACACTTTCTTCTTAATTGATAAACTAGATTTTTTTAGGGTGTTTCTGGGTTTAGTGGTTAAAGGGAAACTGTTATCTAGTTATTTGACTTGTCCTATGACAGTATTGGATGATAGCCAAACATGTCACTTTTCAGAAATTTTTTATCAAATTTTCAAATTTCCACTTACCTGATTCTTGCTATCATGTTCTTGTCTACAATTTTCAAGTTTTTCCTGTAACGCTCTCTCCTGTTTTGCCAAACCTATTTCATGTACGTCCCAAACATGTGCTGCCCCCTGTGAGAATTTAAACAACGATTTGATATCAGTTGTCATCGTTAAACCATGTGTTTCCAACGCATTCTGAAAAGAAAAGATAGAAATTTTTCTAAAAATCTTCATTCAATCCAATGGAAAGGCTATCGGAAGCGAGTTGGATTGTCGTCTGCTAGACTATTTGGGTTGGAATCCCATAACTTTTTGACAAAGTTAAAAATTTCATAGAAAATGCAAAAAATATAAGGACTTACTTCCATAACTTCGAGATTTTCTTCGAATGTTTTTTGTTGTTCACCAACTAGAGGTAACATTTGAATATCTACTACAGACTGAGATTTTACAGGAGTACAGACACCTTCATTTATTAATCTCTCCTAAATTATCAAAAATAAAATAGATATAAAATGGAGGTTTTTCTTGTCGTTCTGGATGTATCGGGGACACTGATAGCATTGATTTACACCATTCAGAATTTCAAACAGACGTCTGTGGTTCCTTCCATTCCACTAAAACTCAGCATTTTATAATGCCAGTATTGCAAAGAACAATACTGACATCATAGATTTATAAAACGCTTAGTTATAGTGGAATTGCAAGACCCACAGACGTCTGACTAATTGGAATGGTGCAAATTTCACTACACCACCTTCTGACATTGAAGTATAACTCTGATTGGTCAATCTAAAATTAATTCAGCCAATCAGAAGACATGAGTAAGGATAATACGATTGGTCACTCTATAATTAATTCAACCAATCAGAAGATTAGAGTTATGATATGACCTTACCTTGACCTTGTTCATCCTATCAATACACGTCTGACAGATCAGTTCATATTCCTCATGTAATTTACTTAGATGTTTCTGGTTTATTGTTTCTAGAACCGAAATAACATTATGATAAGAGATAGGGGTTTGGGGTGGGTTATTGCGGAAACTCTGGAATGTTTCTGGCTTGTTTCCATAGGGATGGTGTGTTTTCATTTGCCACCATTTTGTATCAACGTTACTTGAGAGTGACAAGACTGATATTCTAGTACTGAAATTATTTGTTGTTGTTGTATACTATTGGAATCTAGATGAAGACTTAATCAGCTGATTGTAAGAATTTACCTATTTCTTGTGAAAGAGACTTCATAGTTTGATTCCATTTAAATACTGATGTTTTAGTTGACATGGGGGGCTTCATATCACTGAAATATAACAAGAAAAACTATTTCAATCTACCATAAAATATCCAGCTTTCAGCGTTGGTTCTTAATATGATGTCATTTGCTTGGTTACGTCCAGTGAATGTCGAGTGAATGGCGGCTGTGGGTTCAAATCTCGATGGGCGCGTGATAGTCTGATGACCTTGAATAAGTCATCTTCAGTCATAATTCCAGTCAACCCAGCTGTAAATGGGTACGGATAATCCGGGAAAGATCAATACCAAGAACCAGGCCAAGGACCAGCTGGTAGAAAGGATCCTCGTGAACCTAACTTGTTATCCTTGTAAAATATAGTTTTTTCAATTATTATTTCCTGTTACCCCCAAAATATGAGCTGTCAGAAAAACTTACACTAAAGACTGTACAAGATCTAAACGTTTGATATTTAAAGTCTGCTGATCTTCTAACATATTCTCTAAAACTGTATCAACACCTTCTGGCTTCGTGACTTCTTCACTCTTCATAAACACTCTGGAAATACAAGACTACTTTCAGACATGGAGCAGAAGTATGAATATTAATGGAAAATCAGTTTAATTCAATTTCATATTTCTGGAACACAGGAAACACCTTGTGGTGTGCAATAGGGAGAATTTGTCAGAACAACGACATTAATCTACTCTTTTTGATTTTCAACTGTCGAGGGATCTTTAGTGTGTACAGCCTGTAGCACATGGGGCTTCACATGTCCTATCCATGTAAATCCTTCAAAACCTTCAAGTCTTTTTTTTCAAGAAATAAATTACAAAGACTTACTTGAATTCATCAACATATTTTTTAGTTTTTAGAGCTGACCAGTCCTCTTTACGACGTTTCCACAAGGCATATTGAGTTTTCTCCCTTTCTATATCAGCTGACATCAGACGCACAAACAAATCAGCGAAGGCTCTTCTGTTACTAAGCATTACCTTGTTCATATTCTAAAAGGGAGAAACAGAATTGCTATGGTAAGAATGGGAAGACATTTTTTTTCTATTTTAACTGTCGCGAGATCTTTGACACAAACAAAAGAAATAAACATTTTTCACACGGATAACAATCTTCTAAACTAAAATCAGATTTTTAGAAATACAGTAATCTGATTGGATAATAAAAATAAATTTAAAATCAATTTTAATGATTGACCAATCAGATTTGTTAGTTTGTAAAAGTATTTACCTGTAGTCTAGTTTGTACGTTTGTAAAAGTATTTACCTGTAGTCTAGTTTGTAAGTTTGTAAAAGTATTTACCTGTGCCTCTTTATCAAGATATTTCTGTAAATCAGGGGCTAGGAGATGAGCAATCTTTTCTAGTTTATCACTGTATACTTCAAATACTGAACGAATCTAATAAAATTACAAAAACAACACAAATCATACAATAGAATTTAATTTACTGACAACACAGAGTGAATCTAACAAAATAATCCTAAATAAAAACACCAGTTATGGATCAAATAATATTTGCATTCTTCATATTTATTCTTGACAATCTGATTAAAATATAAAGTTTTTTTCTGTGGTCAGTTCCGCTTGCCATCAATGATCTGACAAAATTTTTATGTGCCTGAGCCAGGTTTCTTACGATAAGAATTTGTCGTAAGTGAAAAAATTTACAATGACAAATACCATAGTTAAGACAAAAATTGATAGTAAGTTTTTTGAGAAATGGCGCCCAGCTGTCCTGGGTCATAGAATATTTACAGAATTAATAACAAGCATCTATGGATAGAACAAGATGAATTTACCTGTTGAGTTCTGTTGTCTTCTAGAGTTTTTAAAGTTTGATCTAATTGTAAAATCCAACCTTGTCGAGACGGTGAGTGCGACTGCACTTCTTCCCAAATTCTTTCTAACTCGTATAGTTCCAACCCTATCAAATCCTAAAATAAAATCATTACACATTCTGTTACAATAAACTAAACACTATAAATTTCTACAATAGCATCATTTGCACTATTCTAATTTCCAGTCAGATGTCTGTGGTTTTTGCAATTGGAATGAAATTTAATGTTTTATGACTCTATATTAGAAAAATTACAGTTTAGCACTTCTTTTCTTATCATAAGCAAATAATCCAGACATGAAGTCATAAAATTGAATCAGAAAAAGAACATCCATTAAAAGTAAAAGACAAAAACAAGTCCATACCTCATCAGTAGAGATTTGATTCAGTAGTTCTGTTAATTCTTCATCATCAGATTCCAACTGATTCAATATACTCTCACTGGCTTCAGTGATACACGGTTCAAAATTCTACAAAATAAAACAGCCACAACAACATTGCCAAAGGTAAACATCAAATAAAATAAAAACAAAATATAATATAAGAATGAAGTCTAATATATAACAAAAAATACAAGGCTTATATTTTGTAATTTTTGCTTAATCAAGCACAATTATTGCATTGACAAGTTGTGTTTAATCATTAAAGAAATAAGTCCATTTGAACCTTTGATCATAATTTCATATATTACAAGATAACTCAACAAATAAGGAATATAAAACTCAACAAATAAGGAATATAAAACTCACCGAGCTAATGACATTAAATTCTTGTTGCATATCTTCTACAGCAGCTTCATGTCTAAAACCAAAAATACATCTTTAATATTCTCTAATAATAACACCTTTTAAAATCGTATTAAAATGAAAATCAAGATGTTACATTGTGTTTTATTTCTGCTAGTGACTTCTTTCGACATCCATGATTAATATTTTTAAAATCTAATATGTATCATAGAATTTCTGTTATTATATCATAAAACCTCAAATTCTATTAAATTTGTGATTAGTGGCCTATAACAAAAGTTTTCTTACCTTTCTTTTCTACTAGAAGCTATTCTATCTATTATATCTGATCCTTTCTTAGTTGGTACTGAAAAAGAAACACAGACAGGAACGGAGTTTTACAACCTACTTTTTTATTTCTGATTGGACACCTGATTTCAAACAACTTTGATCAGTTTGTATTTAAAGTAGAATTTAATGATTCACAAATCAGATGCTTTGAATGGAAAATTAGTAAAAAATCATTAGGGCCTTTTTATCTTGTAGATTGAGATATGAATACATATTGTACCATGGTATTTGACAATTGACAATCCAGTGATAAAAAATTAAAATTAGCAAAGTACCCACCAACAATATCTGGTAAAGCCTGAACTTCTTCATCATAAACTAACGCTTCCTGACTTCGTAATTTACGACTCATATAATCAGCATATTGTCTACAATGATATTGATAATAGTGTTTGAGGACAGATATATTACTTGGAGTTCACAGTTTACCCTGTCAAACGACAGTAGGAACACAGGCTGAAGATCTCAAAGCGTGAATCTCTGAGTAACAACATATTTCAGGTTCTGATTTAAAATTTCTAAGCTTATATAACTTTTTTTTGGTTACACTATTTGTTCAAAGGGTTCACATGTACACTTACCTGTATAAGACAGGATTTTCAATATGTGGTTCATTAGGAAACCCGTTCACCCAGGTCTGTTGTCTCTCTGTTAGTACACCATGTTTAGTTTCATCAGTATTAAGTCTTACTAGAGGTACACTGTTAGTAGCTGATACAGACTGACGAGTTGAGGGAGATTTCGGACGTTTTGGTACTGCTGTTAAACTTTTATTCAGCTGGACCTAACAAATAAACAAACAAACTTTATAAGGTTATGGTAGTGTATAAGCTGTTTCTAGTTTGACTTCTGATTTCAAAACTTGTCCCCTTTGTTGAAATTGGTAAAGTCTATTCTGGGCCCTGTGGCCTGTTTTAACAAAATTAAGAAAAAAATTCAGATCTGAAGAGATACAGCAACTTGTTGGTTCATTAGTTGAAGCTAAAGTAAAAATCAACTTTCAGATATGAAATTTGTTTGGTGTGTGACCCCATTTTTTAATTTACCTGTGCATCAAACATTTGCCTATAAATTTTGCCCGAGGGTATGACCCTCATTGTCGTCGTTTCAGCCATGTCAGCTTCCTTCACAGTTTCGTCTCTTCAAATAATATGTTTATCAATTAAACTTAAGTCCACTGATCCTTCCAAGTTTGTCTTATGTCGCAAAAACAACGAATTTTGAAATTTGACAGTTTGTTTACATTTCATTTAGGGTTCATATCTTCAAAAATGTTTGTCGAATCTCTGTCAAATTTTTTTGAAGATGAGAAAAAAGTTATTTCTTTCAAATTCCAAAATTAAAAACACTTGAAAACGTTTTAAACATTTGTTATTCAATAAAATCTCCAAAACAACATTATTTTCTGAAATTTGTCCGCCATCTTGGCTTCATCTCGTTGTCGTTAAGGTAACTTGAGATCTCGCGAGAGTTTTTATAATGGCGGGTAATTGGGGCCATTTCGATTATGCAGTCGTTTATTAGTCACATGACCATTTTTGGAGAGTTCGGATAGGCTCTGGTCCGGATCGTCCAACCACTCCAATTTTTCGACCAGTGCGATCGCGGAGAGTGACGTGAAAAGATGGCGGCAAGGTAAGAAATGTCCTACCAAATTTTTACAAAAATATAACTCCGTTTCGTTGTTTTCTGACGTCGACAATAATCTCACCCTACGCGACTACAGTCGTCTAAATCACTTTGTAGTCTTATTTGTCGATAGAATTTTGCCTCGCCTCACGTCAAATCGCTGCATTTCAGAAGTAAACATGTGAATCAACTTCAATTCAATTAGATTTTCAATAGGCCTAATAACAACAACGTCCAATAAATCGGGTCATCGCCCTTTGGCCTAGGCCTGAATGAGATATTTTATAATAACATCGTCGGCCTCTTTCCTCAATTAATTAGCTACATCAGATTAAATGTTGTTAATAACTGTTGTTTTTTTTTTAAATATTTTAGGAACATGTCATCTAATAGTGCTCCAGGCATTGCATTAAAAACAATAGCTCTAAAAATTGGTGAACAGTTGGTGAAATTTGAAGTTGGCCTAGACGTCTTTGATGCTGTGGTTCTCCGTAAAGCCTAAAGGTATGTTGGTTCAAAATTTTCATTTAAGTAAGCCTAATATATTACTCTTCTTTCATATATGGCGAAGGCTTATTAAATTGACCAGTTGTAGTCTGGAATACGTAACGATCGAGGGAGAGAACCTAGTTTTCTAAAAACAATTGTCTGTCTCAAAATCAGGCATAAACTAAATTTGATATTGAATTTATTTTTCACCTATCTTCAACATACAGCCCATAATCGGAGATCCAGAGATTTATTATACGCCCAAATGATTAATTTAACCGACTTAAAATGTTGACAATAAAGCAACACGTCGTCGTCTTTTGACATGCTCTCGATGGCAATTTGCTGGATCCAGGAGATTCTCTAGAACTAAAACTAAACTTTCAGTCGTCATTTTGGTTCTCCACCAGTCCTGTACTCGATTACACCGTAAACGCGGACAATCCGGATTAGAGGACGTGGAGAGTCCGGACTGCATAATCGAATTGGCCCCAGAATACGAGAGGGGCTAGCATTCACAACTTAAAGTAAAATCTATTTACGATAACGCGGCCAAGACTCTTTTTCCTTGTTTGATTCCAAAAATGAATAATGTTTTCTGTTATCTCTACATCTCAAATTGTATTTTTTATTCTTAGAACTCTTAAGGCAATGACAGCATGGCCTAGTTCTTTTACGCAACATAGCATCAAGGCCTAGGTCCAAGCGTTACCTTGGTTTGAAAGGTCCCCCATTGTGTCTAGTCAAATCTAATCAAAAAATTTAACAGATCATGAACAGCGAACAGCAAAAAAAGAAGCAAAATATGAACACATAAACTACTCCTTGTCAGTTTAATATGGGAAGTAACTCATGAAAAACTATAGAAATTCAGACAACAGTTAATAAATCTATACGTATGAGGCCTATAAAAACACCTGTAGCCATTATTCATCCATTCTAGTCAGCGATATCAACTGGAAGCGAACGTTAACTTGTCATCTACCAGTCAACCCAATGGCAAATTATAACCCAGGGCTCTGGTCGCCTCGGGTGGACAATAAACCTAATTTTATTTCCACAAACACAAACTGACCTTTCTGATTTCCCAGTCGTAGTCCGGCGAATAAAAATCATCTCTTTCTGAATAGATGTCCCTTAAAGGCGATGCCATGTTCGGACTCTCTTGTGACATTTTTAACTTCAGGGCAACATCAAGTTCAAAACTTTCCTTATGTTCAAATATTGAGACTCCTAAAAATCGTAGTTGGTATTCAAGAAGTAGAACCAGCTGGTAGAAAGGATCCTCCCGAGCCTAAGTATTTAGCCTATCATTTGGAAAAAAGTATGCATTTACAGGCCTACTCCTTACTGATAGCAGACTGTGGGAACTGGTAGAAAGGATCCTGGAGAACTTTAGTTGTTATCCTTGTGAAATACAGACCGGTCGTTCTTTCCCTAGTGTTGAGTTCCTTGATTTCCACGTTTATAATTGCTTTGTCATAACGTCATAATGCGCTCCCGTTGGAAATATCGCAACGCCGTAGACTCGATTACACAGACTAGTGTATTATTGAAATTTTGTTTCTCCATATGCCAAAGTCATGTATTGGAAAAGTTTGCCACCATTTTCAAAACTAACTGTCCTGATGAAGATGTAATATCTAAAGCGCCCGTAGCATGCGAATGTCAAACTACAAAAAAGTATCTTTCGTCCAGACGTATCCAGTTAATATATTACGGTAATTTATTAGCAAACGTCTGGATGGTAAAGACTGAACTCATTGGAATTCATAAAACGCTGTAGGTCCAGTCGGGGTTGAATTTTGAAAATTTCTTCCATAAAAACGAAACATAAAAGCTTGATTAATATTCTAGTTGATCGAGTCTACAGTCTTGTCATGATTTTAATAATGAAATGGAGTTCAAAATTATTTTTAAACCATTCACTGAAGTCATCGTTACTCTATATAATTAATTGGAACCAACTAAGGCAAGTTTCATTGAAAATCGCGGAATTCTAAAGGCGAAGCGTGTTCATTTCCGGTATATAGATTCAAGACGTGCTCAAAAGGACATTAACCACACACGATTCGTCACGTGTAATCTCCCGCCATTAATGGCAAAAACAGGAAGAGATAGTATAGAACGGGATCTCGTGAGGCTTCCGATTAGAAAGAAGAAAATGGCGGGCATTGATAAGCGATTGATTAAACGTGACGCTTTGGTGAATTTCTTTGCCAATTTGTACTCGACTGTGGAAAACAAACCAGGGCTTAGAATCCTTTATGTTTGGTCAGAGAACAATAAATTGGTCAGTCGAAATCTTTACAGATCTTCGTTAAGAGGTAGGTCATCCTCGAGTTGACTCCATGGTGGCACGGCATCTTTTCTCTTTTCCATCAAGTAAGGTTTGCTCCTTTTGTAAACTATGAAATGGGGACACTGATAGAATCGATTTGCACGAGTCCAATTTTTGGCCAGACGATGTCGGATGTCCCTGAATTAAAATTATCATTGGGCAATATCGCCAGTTTCCGTAAAGCTGAATCTGCCTCTGGTATAAATTAAGCGAGACTATTTACTTCCGGCCTTTTACCAACGTTCAAAACAATGCGTGCTTCTAGTTTTTATATATGGTGATTATCAACTTGCTGTTTCAAGGGATACAAAACGAAAACTCGAACCACCTTTCTATATTCAAGCAAAAATTCCAATTTAAAATTTCAATAAAAGCGACTCAGATAAAATCCCTCTATAGCCATTTGAATTAGAAACAAGTCTAATAATGTTTTTCCTTCTTCAGAATCTTTTAAATTCTGTTTGGGTCGTGATGACGACTTCACGCTAAGTTCAAAAACTGTTTTTTGGGGTTTTTTTTTTCGTCAGAAAATTGAATTTGGAAAGTCTTCGAGATCACGAGTTTCTTGATTTGTTTTTGTAATCTTGTAAAGTTTCATCGAAGAAATAGAATCATATTACGAAAGGCGCCTGTTTATTTCCGTTGACACGACGTTTCGATAAGATTATATTAGCTGAATAGGCTATACGTTACAGGCAATTATTATTTCTAATCAACAAGACGTTTCGAAAAGACTACAAAATGAAATGGAATTTTATATCATACTGTTCTGTATCTTATTGGACTAATGAAATAGAATAGAGTTTAACATCCGACTGTTCTGTATCTTTGGAATTTTACGCCCTCCTGTTTTTTGACACGAGGACTTGACATGTCAAATGACATGTTAAAGCGATTTTCTGCCCTTAAACTATAGGACCAACATTATAAGCTATTTTTGCCTCAAGCCAGAAAATACATTATCCAGTGTCGTCAAACCTCATTTGTAGAAAATTGAATTAGGCTTAGGTGAAAGCTTAGTTCCTTATTTAGCTTCATTCATAACATTTCAACCGTTTTCATTCATGTTCTGGGAGAAAGCTATCCCGAGGCAATGATTGGCTATTTAGCCATTTAATCCAACCAATCAAATCATTTCCTTTCAATTATTGACCAATCATTACACTGTAATGGAAATCTTAAAATATCGTAAAATCTCGTTAACTACTTTTGGCCCAAGGGCAATAACTCTTGAAAGTAGATAGGAATAAGTCATCAAATTAAAAAGATGTAAGTTTTAGACTGTGCGTCATCGTTGACATTAAGATAGCGGTTTTAAGTTTCGAACGCAACTCTTATGCAACTGAGTTGTTAGTTGTGTTTGAAACTCATAGCCACTTTCATTATTCGTAACCATGCACAACTGGTAATCACTATCGTGTAAAGGTACCTTGAACCTGCAACTTTTCAAAATTTCTCTAATTGCATTGTGTGCTTGTCTTCAAAAGTGATTCGACTGACGAAAAACTCAATTCCATTTTAAGAGCATGATTGAAATGGCATTTAGAATATTATGAAGAATCGAATTTCAATACACCACGTTTCTCCCGGTTGTTTTATTTTAAAGGCATTCTGTCGTTTAATTTTGGTTTAACAACTGATGGAGCTCTGTTTTGT